TTTGATGCGAAAATTTAGCTATCAAATATATTTGATACGAATTTATTTAGCAGCACTTTCAGCATTTTTATGCCATAATGTCGAATCTTGAATGGTTTTTTTCGTTCAACAGAACACTGCTATATATATTCTTCATGAATTTTGAAATCCTCGTGATTTGCGTAAAATAAAAGGGTCAGATTTTAAATTTTTTCCCCGCTAATCCAGAAACCGAAAATAATGGGTTCAATTGTCAGATATTATTGAGATGTAAAAAAATAATAAAAAAAGCCACGAAGAGATGCTGAATTCGAGCTCAGGTAAAAACATTTTATTTATTTCAAAAGGTTTGAAAACTTTTTTTCTCTACAGACGTTAGTTTGAGTTTCTGTCGCTAGAAAAACGAAATAAACTCCTTAGCAGATTTTTTCTCTGAAAAAATTTTCATGATTCGAAATTGACAAGATTTCAGAATTGTTCGAAAATTTTTCCGGGGTGAAAAAAATCTTCGTTTTTTTTCAACTGGTATTTTATTTTAAAATGTTGAGAAGCTTATTTAATATGTTCTCGAGAAAATAAATCAAATTACATCGCTTCTAATTCGGTGGATGTATTTTTAGACTTTTTAGTTAGCAGAGCATCTTTTCTGCTGCTGGTAAAATTGACGACAAATTAAATAAATGTAAGATTCTTTCAGCAGAATAAAAATGAATTTGTAATTGTGCTCTCCTGATGAGTCGATTGTGCATATAATATTAGCCGTGCACAAAACCGAACATATACCTGATTCGAATGCACAAAAACCGTAACACGCGAAAGCTAAAAATCTTGAAAATAAATTTTGATGATTTTTGTTTGGCTTGAATGCGTTTAAGAATCCAAAAATATTTCTTTATGCCTTACATTCTGTTGACTGACCATTTCAAGAATCGAATATACGCTGAAAATGTTTCCAAACGTTGAAAAGTTTAACCACGTTAACGTACCTTTCTTTTATGCTTGAATTATGTTAAATATGGCCAGATTCATAGAATAGTACAGACCTTCCAACGGCCATTTTCAATAGAACTACTGTATATACCATTAGTATTGCACGAATATTTTTACTGGAATTTCTCTAAATAATTTTTGTTTATTAATTAAATCACAATTTTGAAGAGTGTTCTTATTTCGATGCATCTTAGATTCTTCAAGTCAAAGGGTGTCTCACATCGATTTCCACATGGTTACCGGCCCATCAGCGGGATCCGTCAGCCCTGCCAATAACATTCCTCGTCAGGATTTGACATCCTGGGCACAACAATCGAACCCAGGTGCAAGCCCATCTATGACGAACCCTCAGCGACACCGAATTAAACCTAGGATCAGTTATCCTTCGGGACCTACTCATGCTGGACCCAATTACTTGGGAACGATCTCTCCATTTACATTCGACGCTGCTTTGACCACGATTGCGATCGCAGCTTTTTTATCGTTTGGTTTGAGAATTATACAAACCTTCGTCCCCGGGAGGAGGAAAAGAAGCGTCAATAATGATGACATTGGGGTTCAGAGCGATTTTCTGGACAATAATGTGGACTTGCTAACTGAACAAGTTTTGCCACACTTGGAGAAGAATTGGAATGATTTGCCTCCGTATGCGCCAGAAATTACTTATTTAGGGTTTGAGATGTTGTGGAACTTTTGGAAGGAACATTTTCTGGGCTGGAATGTGAATTTGAAACGCATATGCCGGACTTACAAAGATCTTTTGCCTGGAAGTAGAAACAATTACCGACAAGCAAGGTGAGATTCCAACGAATTTCTAAAAAAATTTCGGGAAATGCATGAAAAAGATTTTTTGCAGCTTTGCCTGGTCTTTGGTTGAAAAAGTTGGTGCGACCTGGATCAAGCCTTTCATCAATGCGGTGGATGTCGGGCTGAACTCAAGGGAATGTCACAATCTGTGAGGACATCCATGAACATGTATTATGAATCTGCAGCTAATAAAATGTCGATAATTCAAAAAATAGTTGTCAAATTCATTTTACATACGCGTGTTCAATAATCCTTTCTCTAAAACTGATGGGGGAAACATGATTGTTCGAAATATGAAATACTGTACTGTACTGCAAATCTTAATTTACTCATGTACTCATGCATGAGACAGGTCCTCACCTGCAATCGTTCAAATGAACCGCCCTACTTGAATGGCTGTTCCGAAATGATTCACGTATATTCGCATTTGTGGAAGGGCGCAATTGACGCATGTTCGGCGAAGAAAGCGTGGGGCTTATGTCGTTGTTAGTACAAGAATTTATGAAAGCCTAAGGAAGAAGTGGTTGCAATTTGTGCCGACTGTAAATTAAATTTGCTTTTTTAATAGTTCTTCTTTCGTGTTCCAAGAGAAGGCCGATAGGATTAGGTCTGGCTGAGGTTTTTGTAATTCAACCATGGCTAAAGTCCGTAAGCACGAAGGGTTCTAAATGATATTTCTGACGGATTACTGGTGTGATTTATGTGCTCTGAAAGATAGAGTGATTCCTCTTTTATGAAATCCCTGCCTATTGGTGCACGTGCACGCACCATGTTTCGAATATTGTACTATAGTTTGAAACGATGCATGGTGCAATGAAGGTACCGTAGTTTCCCGTGTTCCCAAAAATCGTCGCCTGGACGTTCGCTGAGCGACTTGTTTGTGTCTAGAGATTTTGTTTCGTGCAGGCTAAGCTCAACCATTTCCGTCGTAACGTATTCGTGTGTGTCGTGGATTGCTTTAGACAATGGAGAAAGATTTGGAGATCTGTTGCGCACCGCAGTTTGCGCCATTGGTGACGAATCCAGAGATCGGTGATGTTTCAAAGTTGGAAGAAGATCTGCGACGTAATGCCGAACTCTTTGCGGAAGGCATCACGCAGCATTACTCGAGATATATTGCAGACTCCAGTCAACGACTGGAAGAATTAAGGTACGCGTTGTTATTATAAGCTCTTCGCTGCCAGTTCTCATGAGATTTACTTTCCTAAATCTTTCAGGCGAAGTCAAGAAGTCATTTCGGAAAATCTTCGTTTGGAAAATGAGCGCATTGAAGTTGCAATGAACAGCGACGAACTGCAGAAACTGGTGAGTTTGCGATTGCCATTTTTTTTTGTCATAACGCTTCATTTTTGTTTCCTCTCGCAGTTTGAGAAGACCCGGAAATACACGGAGAAGCTTGTGAAGATCAAGCGTGATATGGTCTCTCTGCAAGAAAGGGCGGCCAAACTGAAGGTGATGATCTGAATTACTGTTCTGATTTGCTGCAAGGTGGAAAAAATACATGTCGGCTATATGTAATCGTCTGATTGCAGAAGCGTGCACTGACGCTTCAACTTCGGAAACAGAAGGAAGCTTACAAGCGAGATCAACAGCGTCGAATGGAGGCCGAAAAGGAGAAAGCGTTGATCGCCAAGATGTCGAAATCTACTGACAGACGTTGAACCGTTTCTTCGTTGACTATACAGCTACTTTTACTGGCTGTTATAACAATTTATGATTCTGGTCAACATCTGCAATCATTTTAATTTTTACCCGCAGTGCCAAGATTAATTACGGTGCATGTGATAATATTCGTTCAGTTTGTATGGGGATCCATGTCGGAATTAAAAAAAAGTGGTTAACGTTTAATTTCAATTGTCACGTTTTGTATTTATTTCAAGCAAATGCGATCAGAGGTCGGTTTTGTATGCATAGAAGTTGACTTTAAGTCATGTGAAGTCGAGGTGATCGTCATCCTTTTTGAACCATCAACGCAGGAATCTCTTTGTTGACTAGATTCCGACCATCTGATCGCATGAAAAATTGCAACCTTCGCGCTATCAGATCTGATTGACAATTTTTTCTAGTTTTGTAGATGGATGTGATTATGGAACGTTCGTTCGAACTCGCGAAAGAGGCACTTGCTGCCGGCGAAGTTCCTGTTGGTTGTGTGTTCGTGCGAAACGGTTCGGATATCATTGCTGCCGACAGAAACCGTGTGAATGAGTTGAAAAACGCTACGAAACACGCCGAAATGTTGTGCATTGACTCGGTCGTGAAGAAGTATTCGGATTATTCTGAAGTGTTGCGCGGTTCGGTGGTTTATGTGACTTGTGAACCGTGTATAATGTGTATGCAAGCGTTGCTGGAAGTGAACGTCGGCGAGATCGTTTACGGATGTCCAAATCCGAGATTCGGCGGCTGTGGATCCGTGCTGGACGTTTTAGCTTTGAACTCGAGAACGATGCGAGTTACTAAGGGTGTGCGAGCCGAAGAAGCTGTAAGTTTGTTGAAGAAATTCTATGAATGCGAAAATCCCAACGCCCCGGAGAGTAAAGTTCGGAAGAAGGTTTCGTGACGTTGGTCCATTGACAGTGAAAATTGCCAGGAAATGCAATACTGTGATCGGACACCTGTCGGAGCTTTTGCTCGTGGATTTTTTTCTGGAGTGTGAAATAGAGCGACGTACCGTGTTTCCCCGAAAATACACCGAAAAAATTTTATCGGATGAATAATATGTAATAATTGTCTTGACGATTCCTGTCCTGGGAAGGGAAACTGTCATTGCTCGCAAGGTCGGTCGCAGAGCTTGATTTCAATGTTTTACTAGGTAAGCCTAAGTCTTGTTGATTTATCAACAGAGAATGGATTTCTTCCTAGGAAAGGTAAACCAAAAAATGTTGGTTCAATCTTTGGAAAGAGTTTATGAGTGCCCAGAAATATAATTATGACTCATCTGTAAGTTCGATTACAGTCATAATTATTAAAATTTCTATCCGGTTCATTCGATAATTACTTGATCGACCATTCATCTTGAAAGTAAGCCCGGTGTTCACGTCAAACATCGATTGGAGACATTTTTCACACTTGGGGAAGCGCGGTACATTTAAAAATGTGGCTGTTCTCCACGTTCATGATCGGTTGGTGGGATGAAGATGGGGCGTCATGAAATTCCGCTTCGTCAGACGTGTTTACATCATATGATCTAATTTGCTCGGGCGCTGTTCAGAAAAGTTTCATTAATTCAAAAATAATGTAACGATTCTCAATTTTTGTGTGTTCCAGTTATACGTGTAGATACCTATCATCATTTTTTAGTCATTTCATGTAGTGTGACGAATGGCATTATGAGTGAATCCCAGTCAAAAGATATGTCAACTATCCGGAGCGAACTCGCAGACTTGGTTAGACGTAGGACCGAAATCGGGGTGAGTTTTATTGAATTGTCCTGACTATATACATTTTTTCATTCTACTGTACAGCACAGTACTTGATTGCCTTGAATTTATAATTTTAAAAGTAAGTTTTCAGTGGGACACTGAAGTTTTGCTCGACGCATCTTATCCTTTGAATTTGTCGTTGAATTTTCTGATCTCGAAAAATAATCGGGATTCTTAAATTTTCAGGACAATTTGGCAAACTTAGAGAACCAGATTTATGCGTTTGAAGGAAGTTACCTTGAAGACACCCATCATTATGGTAATGTGATTCGGGGATGGGATCCTCATCTGAGTCCGAATCGAATATTTTCTGTGGACGAGAAAGGATCATATAGTCGAAAAATCAAAGAAGCGCAACGTCTTTTTTCCAAATCTTCCGTTACGTACAGTGCCGTTTCACTAGGAATTTCATCAAACTCGGCAAAGGTAATTAAATCTTCTTGATTTCAGTATGCCTTCGATACCCTCTAATTTATGCTCGACTTCCGTTGATTCTGAAACAGAAACAATGTCGTATGCACTCAAGAGTTGCTGTTCTGCGTGTATTCTTGTATGAATGCCCGTAAAAAAAAACTCTCATGATCTTTTTTAATCTCCCGAGAAATTTATAAACGAATGCGTTTTTAAAATCTCTCGCGTAAACTCCGTATTTTGACGCCGGTGATTCTTCGAAGAGTCGTAGCGATGAGATACTGTTGAAAAATTCTCTGAAGTCAGTGATTTTTGCGTTCATTTTTAGGAAACAAATGGCACTGTTGAACACGTTGAACGTCGTATTCCAGGTTAGTTTCTTGAAAAAATTGATTTTTGAAGCTTGACTTCCGAAATATGTCGAGCTTAAATTGCGAAATACACACTTCACTGTATTCACGAGTCGTGAAATAATATTCCCACTTTTAACGATTGATGTTTTCTCAAGTCTTATTTTGAGATGAGGTTTCACCTTCTGAGTAAAGTGTACCATATTTTAAACTTTTTCAGTCTTCGTTAGTCTCTGATCATTCGCAAAATTACTACAGTATTGTAATTATGACTTGACATGATCAGGTGGAGTATATTACATTAATTATATGCAGACTCTCGAGAATCCTTCGGTTCTTACGAACGTAAAAAGCAGAAGGAAATTCAACCACCCTCCACGGGTCGGAAGAAACGTTCGAAGTCGACGGGACACGCTCAGAAGAAAATGAAGAGTGCCTGAAAATGAACAATCCGTCGAATCTTTTGAGGAAATGAGCGTGTATGTCAACTCAGTTTATCTTCCTGCCGCATTTGCTTTTGTGTGGGGATCATCTGATCATCTTTCGCTTTGTGTGCTATTTTTCGCTTTCTTATAGCACTTTCAGTTCGGACCGACGTGTGAAATTCTTTTTGACGATAATCGCGGAAATTCTAACTGCTCTACCGTACCGTTCTGTGGTCGAAACCTCTGTGAAACGAAAGTGCGGTTTTGACGATGTTGGAATGTAACTTTACATTCGAGTGGCTTTTATTTTTTATGAATACGTTGTGTGCTGCTTGTCATTTCCGTCGCGTAATTTCCGTTCGGGGCAATGGAAGGTCGAACGGAATTGACCTGTATATTTTTTCGTAACTGCGTTACTGAGGAAACGTATAATGTGATGCCTTGCAGTTGCGGCAAGCGTGCTAATTCCTCTTTTGCTGCGTGCCTTATTGCAAGTGTCTTTAATATCCATGGGCATAAACGTAATCGTGGTATAATTCAAATCGGGTGCCGACGTATTCATATCCTCGGTCGTGATTTTTTGACGGGCTTCTGATTCCTCGGATTCTGATGCAGTACAGTGCAGTACTTAGCTTTCAAGATATATTTGTTCTGTGCTTTAATATGATGCTTTGCTTGCTTTTGAAGCTTGAACAATGTTCAGGAAGCAGTCGAACTCTTTTTTTTCAAGTTGAACCGTTTTCATTGTTGGTCTGTTGTGTTTCTCCAGTGAGAGTCATTCATTATCGGGAGAATATTTGGATATCGGGGGTACAAATGCTATGCGTAATTGGGGGGACATCCGAGTAGATTTTCGACGAGTGAAGCTGCGAGAAAGGCATTGTTTCACATTCTGTATCAATTTTCTCAGGCTACGCAGAAGATTTACCAAAAAGGAAAAAGGGCCAGTGTTTTATTTTTGTAATATCAGAAAAGGAAAACGAAAAATGCCGTTAAAGTGGGGCATTGTAAGTTGCGGTAAAATTGCGGCCGATTTCGTTTGCGCTCTTCGCACGATTGACGGTGACGAGCATCATGTGGTCGCTGTCGCCGCTCGACACCAAGATCATGCTCAAGCTTTCGCTGAAAAGTTCCGCGTAGCCAAAGCTTACGATTCTTACGAAAAATTGGCCGAAGATCCGAATGTTGGTGAGTTCATCTATTTGGATGTGAATAATTTTAGAGTAGTGTAACCACTGCACTCATCTAGTTCCCCTTGATGCTCCGTTCTTTTATTCAGTGTTGTATTTTTATTTTTTATTCATTTTTTGAGTAATGAATGCTCCGTGTTCGTAGACGTTGCTTACATCGCGAGCATCAACCCTATGCATTTCCCGCTTGCGAAGCTGATGATTGAAAGCAAGAAAAACGTGTTGTGTGAGAAGCCCATGTGCATGAACTATAAGGAAACAGAGGAGTTGATCGCCTTGGCTCGACAGCATAACGTGTTTCTTATGGAGGTTCGTCTTGAAATGAGTTTTTATTTTATTTTTCTCGCTTAATTTTCGTCAAAATTCTTGTTTTGGATTTAGTATGAATGACTGAACTTTTTTCATAAACGTCCAAAACGCGTATGCGTTCAAAGTTAGACGAGTTTGTGTTGATTCGAAGATTGATCCAGACGTTGTGCCACTCTCTGTAACTACAGTATTTCAGTTGAGCTTTTCGGAATGTGGAGAAAAGTTTTTGCTCATGTCAGTATTCAGAGAGGCTGCACTACTTTCTTTTGATTTTTTTTCTGATAAATCCCACGATCGAAGCAATTATGAAAAACGAGTGCGACTGTGCGCTCTAATAGTCCTTTGTGTCGCCGAAGTGATTCTGAATCTTCAAATTCATTCAGAGATTTAAACATAATATGCATTTTTTCTAATTTTATTTTTATGCTCTACGAGTGCAGTTCACCTTCGCTGGTTTTACGGAAGCACATGCACAATTAAAATAACTATCGCGAAAATTCTTAGTCAGATACATTTTTACCATGTGCATCTGATTATTTATTCATGAGTTCAATATTGTCTCGAAAATATTTTTTAATTTAATTTGAGCAGGTGAAAAACTACTCTGAGGTAAACTTCAGTTGTTAACACGAATCGTTTACAAGTGCTGCCAATTACAGTATTATCTTCATTTCAACGTTGGTAGGGAAAAATTGGAATGAAGGTTAGGGAATGTCAAAAATAGAAGCCGCGATAATCAAGTCCATCGAGCGAAATGTTGATACGATCGGCTAAACGTTTGAACCGATCCTCGTATGTTCTCGCGAAAATTAAAGTAGGATTTTGACATTTTTTTCCGTCTTCATTTTCTCAGGCTATATGGAGTCGATTCAATCCAGCTTATTTGAAACTAAAACAAGAAATAGAGAAAGGGACTATCGGCGAGGTTCTAAGCGTTTATTCAACGCTTGGAATGCCGATAGCGAATGTCCCGAGGCTGATGAGTAAGGCTCTCGGTGGTGGTGCAATGTTGGATATCGGAGTGTACAATGTGCATATTGCGACCTGGGTATTTGGAACATCGATGCCACGTGTTGCTTCTGTCGGATATTTGAATGACGAAGGAGTCGATCGGAGCTCGTCCATGACTCTGCTCTATCCTGACGGTAAATTTGCATCTTCGGTGAGTGTTGAATCATGAATAACTGTAGAGATACTCTCACTCGGGGCGGGCATGATGACGTTCGATATTAAATTATTGACAACTATTCGACGAAAAGGAAAAAAAATGGCTCAGCAGATTCGTGGCCAGACATTTGTGTACGTCCTAAAACAGCGCATGCCTGAAAATAGAAGTTCAAAGCAGACTACTGTACTTGTGTGGAAATACTGTTCTTTCAAGGAATGGGTTCCACAATTTCCGCTTAGGCTTATTTTTCGATGTTGCCAGCTGCGCTAATTCATGTATTCAGTAATTTTCAGCTTGGGCGGATTGCAGATATGATTCATCATATCTCCAGATTCTAAATCAGTAAAGCCAATTTTCTTCTGGTTTTTGAAAATTGGTATGTTGTCGGGTGTTTTTCTGCGCACATTTACGGTATTCTTTCCATGACTGTTTTGGGACACGTAAAACCGTCCTGCCACCCTGCCAAGTATCACTCATCGAATTAACTTCGAACCGTAAAAAAATTTATTTCGTTGGATTCCATCACGTTTTGCTTGCTAAACCTGAACGAGGAAGGCGGCTTGTTCATTTTAGGAAACTATTTTTTTCAGGTGACTCATACGGAAGTCGAGTTTCCAAACGAAGCTTACATCATCGGAACGAAAGGTTTTCTACGACTGCCAAAGCCATTTTGGTGCGCCACAGAATTGGTGACCCCGTACAAAAGGTTCTCGTTTCCTGTTAAAGAATCTGAATGCCACTTCCCAAGTGGCTATTTATTGAGATATGAGGCTATCGAAGTTAAAAAGTGCATTGACGAAGGTCTGAAGGAGTCTCCATTGCTAACCCTGGATGAATCTTTGCTGATAGCCAAGATTATGGAAGAAAGTCGGAAACAGATGGGAGTCCTGTATGAACAGGACAGTTGAATGCGAGAGGAACTGCAATGGCCGAATAAGCCTGTTGAGTAAGCCTTAGGGGCCATCGGAAATTGAGGTATACTCTAGGCGTGTTTTACGGATTCCGTATTTTGAAAACTTAGGTGCTAAAGTTGACTTTCGAGATTCAAAATTGTCAAGGTCAATTCATTTGAATGTTTAAATCTTAAAAAAAGAGAGTTCCTTGTTGATCTGTAATGAATTGTTTTTTCCATTTCTTCGTGATGTTGAATTGCTGTCGGGTGCTCCAATCGATTCGAGAATCAAATCGAAGTCTTCGATGCTTAGCTAAATTCAGCTTTTTCCATTCGTGTCTTGACCCCGTCGAATCTTCGATTTTCCGACGATATTTTCTTGAAAATATTCTCGTTCACCAGTATGACTTCGTGCTTCGGAAAAAGATCGCAGGTGTTTTGAAAGCTTTGAAGAAAAAAAAGGCCAGGTTACTGAAATTCAAGGTGCTTTCCATTAGAAGTGAACTTTTCAGTGTGTTGAAGCGTCATTTTCAGCGGCCTTAAAATATTTTTCGTAATCAATGTTGTCGATTGGAAATGCTCGGAATACTATCGGAAATTCATTCCGAATGGAATCTGTCAATTTTTTTGCTCACGTAGTTGGACTTAGTCCCGTTCGGTTTGTGTTCACTGGTAGATTGTTGTGACTGAGTTCTTTCGAGAGAAAATGCAAGGCGAGCGTGATTTGTGCTTTCTCTGTAACCGTTCGCTTAAAGATCGGATCCAACTATGTCTCTTTGTTTCAGAAGCGCGAAAACAAATTTTCCTATGGATCCGGATCCGGTTCCGTCTATTGGTCGAGTGGATGAGATTGGCGATGATTTAGAGAGAATTGGCGATGATCCGAACGCTGGATTATTCGATGACAAGGATGAGATGCTGAGATTTGTTCAAAGCCCTGGAGTAGAGCGAGAACTGGACGATGATGATCGAAACTCACGCATTCCCGGAGCACATGTGAGTATATTTTCCATGAAAAATCGATCAGAAAAGATCGTAACATTTTATGCGAATTAATGGACGTCTTGAAATCTGATATGAGCGATAAGTTTTCTGGAAATCACGTGATGTGCGTGTATTTTATCTTCTTTGTTCAACTCTTGTGCAAATTTCAACGAGTTTTGAACTTTAAAAGAGAGAAGAGAAAAGCATAGTTTTACATCGTCTACTCTTCAGTGTGAGAGATTCAGAAAATTATGAGCAACAGTTGTCGGGATGAGTTAATTTTTTTCTAAACAATATTTCAAGTACACGATTTTCCGCTGAAAATATATTTACTGTACAATATTCAAAGATTTATCATGATCTTTTGTGCAGTGGCTGGAACCAATTACATTAATTGCAATGTACAGTAATCTTGAAGGAAAACGCTTTTCACATGACAGAAATTCGGCGTATCGAAATTAATCGAGGATTAGTTTTGTTATGCGGGGACTCAGTCTATTTGCAACCTAAGCCAGCTGTCGAAATGTTTGCAGCACTCGGGGAATCAAAATGACGACGCATTGGCGAATGATATTGACATCAAATCTGGCAACACGGACAGCGAAGAATCTGATGACGATGACGACGACGACGTTCAAGGCTCTAAAATTGAAGGGTCAGTTATACCCATTCGTCACATCAGCGATATATTAATTTTGGAAAGTCTCTTTTTTTAATCGTTTTTCTGAAGTATTATTCTTTTTCCTTCTTCAGGTCTTACAATCCGGCGGAGTATGAGAATTTACCCGTCAGTGGAGAGATCAAATCATTGTTTCAGTACATAATGCGGTATACACCACAAACGATTGAACTGGATCACCGTCTGAAGCCCTTCATTCCGGATTATATCCCCGCTGTCGGTGATATTGACGCTTTCATTAAGATTCCGAAGCCCATGGGTGGGGTACAGGCCAAGGCCAACACGATTGCCGATGGCGGAACGCTTGGTCTGACGTGTCTCGATGAACCTGCTGCGAAGCAAAGTGACCCCACCGTTCTCGATCTTACTTTGAGAGCCGTTGTGAAACAGACATCTGCCAAAGCTGTGGTAAGGGATTTTTTATGTACGACGGATCAAGAGAATGGGTTGGTCTTTATTCATCGCATTTCTTGTTCACGAGCGTGTGAAACCTTTAATTTTTTCAACTCTTGGACGCCTGAGCTTTGGGAACGTTCGGAATCCTCGATATGAGCCTACATTCAGCTTATTTTATCCCTCATGGTCTGTAAACATTTTTGATTGAATATCAGTCGAAATATGTCATGAGCCACCTTATAAACTCATCTTGAAAATTAAAATTTGAAACAGGCGAGAATTGATATGAAACCTGTGCAGGGTTAGGTGAAAATCACTGTCTCACTTCAGCCGATCAAGGGGAAAGCATCAAAATCTGCCCATTTAAAGTCTTGTGCGAAATAATTCACCCAGTTACATGATTAATTTGAAAATCGAGCATTTTCTGTGCTGCATTTGTGTCGTATTCTTTTCTAATGCAGCTTTATTTTCTATTTAATTTTTAAATTAAGTTTCTACAAGGTTACTGCATTGAAAACCCCGTGGGAGAACTGTATATTTTTTCGATTGACTGCGCCGACCTACCTTTCAGCACAATGTATTGAAAATGGAACGTTTTGCCTGTAAACTTACGTATCCTCTCTTAGAATGTCTTCTGTATTTGTGACTTCAGGCAGTCAAAACAGTGGAGGAAGCAGAGAAAAATGCGAAGTCAATCGAGAAATGGATCAAGGACATCTCTGATTTGCACCGATCAAAGCCACCTCCCACAGTTCATTATTCCAAGTGAGTTCGTAACCTTACGCAGTGGGTGCTGGTTTTTCTTTCAATTTTTCTGCGATGTCTTTTCGTATTAATTCCATATTGAAATTTACAGACCCATGCCTGATATTGACACACTTATGCAAGAATGGCCTGCGGATTTTGAAGAAGCCTTGCGAGAAGTTGGAATACCAAACGCGGAACTGGAGTGTACTTTGCAAGAGTACACTGATTTAACATGCGGTGAGATTCTAGAGTTATGTAAACCTCATGCTATTAGTTGAACGAATATAGTTATTTTTCCTCTTGATATTCAGGGTTGTTGGACATCCCAGTGTACAAGAGCAGAATCCAGTCTCTGCACGTTTTATTCACGTTGTTCTCCGCATTCAAACAATCTCAGCATTTTCAAGCATTCAACAAACAGCCGGGAGAGAGTGTTGGAATCGAACCCGACCGTTTGGTATTCGAATGAAGTTGAAGGAACGGTGGACCTCTACACTTAGCATTTAGCAAGGCGATGCCCTCAAGTGATCGTATTTTTCCTTTTGTGTTCACATGCTAATCAGATTTGAATTTAAGTCACTTGTGAATTTCAGTCACCCGTCGAGTCCAAAAAGTATAAGCTTTAATTTTTTGCAGTTATGTGCCAGTGATAAAAAACATTAAATGCCGGTACACGATCTCTGACTTACCTGTCCGTCCTTCGGGAATAGCACAAAATTCTCCGTGTCACAATAGGATTTATTGTGTGCGCAATTTTGTGTGATATTTTTTGGATGCTGCAGAATTAAAAACTAGTGTGTTGCACTCGTTTAATAGCGGTTGTTCTCTGAAGTATCTTGCAAGTAATGGAGATTATTTTCTTTCTTTGCAGACGGAGTGTTTGAAAAAATAGGCGTCGTGAAATGGGAAGAATTTTCCTGGAGCACCTCGGAGGACAGAGGTTGTTCTCATGTATTGGGTGCGACACAGTGTTGACGAATCGAAGTGAATTGGTCAGCACTCGGTTCACTGGAGCAACTGGGAGAGCTTTTCTCTTCAACAAGGTCGTCAACCTGACCTACAGGTAAAGAAGATGTGTACATGGCGTTATTTCAGCGAATGCCTTCACTGTGAACATGCTTTTGAGCGTTTCCATTGCATGTGGGTAATGTAGCCGTGATTCGTGAAGATTTATTTTTTTTCATTGGTGAAACTTGAGGGTGAATTCACATCTCGTACGAAGATCTGTATAATATCACTCTAGGTGGAATTTCATCGCAATTAACATACATCATTGAATTTTGTTCAATTGACTTTTTGTGCGTGTTCGTGTAAAATACAAAAATTGTTACTGAATTTCATCCTCTCCCAATTGTCTGACCGGGAACAAATTCTGGAGTCAGATGCATAATCCTTAACAATTCAGCTTATTTTAATCGAAAGTAAATTTGGTCAGGACGAATGTTTAAAGCATAGATTTACTGTATGTTGGAAAAAATCAACCCTGAAGTTATTGAAATTGTAAAAAAATTTTATATTCAAGCGAGGTGCAGGACAGAGTGATGTTAACCGGTCGTCACATGGTGCGTGACGTGTCGTGCAAGAAATGCGACACCAAGCTTGGTTGGGTTTATGAATTTGCCACCGAAGAAACACAGCGTTACAAGGAAGGGCGCGTGATTTTGGAACGGGCTCTCGTCACTGAAACCGATGGAATTGTGGAGCATGCCGTCAAGGACTGAAAATTCCTTGAATTTGGAACTTTTTGAAAGTGTTTGAAATATCTTGCTTTGTAATAACCTTGCGTGAGACTCCTGGCCCACGTCCACATCCTTTTTAGGGTCACATCTGAGGAATGAATTCCGATTCAACACGATTTCTGCCGAATCGCTTTGTTATTGGAAAAAAGTTGCTAGTTTTTTTTTCAACTCTTCAGTAAAGCAACATGGTCGAGGAACCGAAATAATTTTTATTCCAGTCCGAAATTCCCTGTTAATTTAATCTTTGAGTAGAGTTCATTTGGTTATAACATTTTCGCAATATCCAAATAATTGGCTAAGCTTTCAGTCCATCCATGTTTTTGAATAAAAATGTAGCGAATTCTTCCGAGTTCCTCTTACGTTTTGAAGATTATAGGAGCGTTTGTTTGGTGAATTCTACAGAAATATGATTCACATTTTTCTATTAAAACAGTGGGGCGATTAAAGTGTCGCTGGGGTTTCCTGTTTTTATGTATATGTGGATGCTTCGTCTTGCGCTTGAGCACCATGTTCACAGCGGTCGTGATTTTTTATAGCGGGAATGCGTGTTTCGTGATGGCCGATGTTTATTTTCCTCGATCGGCGAAAGTACTGGACAATTTTTTCCTATAAGTTTCATTCTGTCGTCGCTTACAGGATGTAGTTTTGTGATGGGGATATATGCTGGACGGTTTTTTTTCTTTGGCTCAACACTTTCGTTGAGAATCGGCGTAATTTGTACATCTCCTATGAAAAAGTCATAATCGGAAATTTTGCTTTTATGGATTGCGTGTAAATGATAGAGGTGCTGTTGTCGAGAGGGAGAGGAAGAGATTCGCACTCTGATTAATTCCTGTCGCGTGATCCAGGCACTCGCTGGTACGATCTGAAACAGCGACGTCGAACGGTCCGCGATATGGCTTTTGTGAAGCGAGGGTCTTTATGGTCAGGAAGTCTATCTTGTGTGTACCATTTTTTATCGTACCTTGAAGGACATATTTGAGAAATGAAGGGGACACTAGTGAGGAAATTTCACGGAACAAGTGTACCTTGAATGTTTTTAAAAATTTTGTGAGGGTTGATGCGGTTCCCTCCAACTCTCTACAACGATTTTCACTGTACACCAACTTTTTTGGTCTCGCAGGAGTCTCTAAAACTATTTTTGTGGTCCCCTGTATTTCGTTGTAGAGAGTCCACGTGTATAGCAAAACGGAACCCATCAACCCCTCGATTTCATCAGAATCCTTCAAATAATTTTTTTTTTTTACTATCTTTCAGAAATGGGCGGTTGTTCAAGATGACAAAAGCTATTATTGTGGTGTTTTCTGTGATACTCATAAGCCAGCTGTGTGATTTTTCACCATGGGAAGAAGCAGCGGTGTCAACTGATCGAGGACGAAAGCAATTTGAATTAGCACAGAAAAATGCGGCTAGTCCCGTCTATGGGCGTTGTTGGCTCAACGCCCTGCGCCAGTTGGATTCCGGTTGCAGGTACCTTAATGACGATACGCAAAGCAGACTCGCAATTGCTTTCGCCGGGTGTTTTCTGGTCAAATCTGGGAGGAAACCTTTGGAATGTGGAATGGACGAGTCAGTTGCTTCTTGTTTGAAGCATGTAGAATCGGAAGCTTTTGCAGCGTACACGGCATTTTTCACACATACGCAGGATATGTGTTATTTCTTGCACAGCCAGGTACGCATTNACACTTAATATTATTTTTTCATATAACGCTCGTAATCTTGGTGTTTTTAACAAATTTTCTTTCCGTATGTCTGTCGTGTGATTCTTGAAACGCAAATACTGTATAGTTTTAAGTTTATCCCTTCCGGGAAAAAACGTATCTTTCCTGCCATTTTTTGCATCATTTTTGGTGTATCGTTGTTTTTGTATTTGCTCTATTTTAGAATCTTTTTTTTTTCAAAAATATTGTATTTTCAGGCATGGCGTGAAGAAACTAGTAACGTGATAGATAATTTGGCGAAAACGTCAGCAGGTGTTGTGAAGGAGCTGGAAGAAGCGGGTGTCAAATTGAGGGAAAGTGGAAATTTGCAGAGAGAGATTTTGGAGCAACAATCATCCGCTCTCTACGGACTAGAAAGGCTTCATAATCAAGGAGCACTGCTTGAGGATAATCTCAAGGTTTCCGGGCAAGTTTTCGAGGAATTCAGGTGAGAAACTTCGAATTTTGTTTCGATTGATAGTGAGCTGAGGAACGAGTTCTTGAACCGGTTGCAAGATTTTCAGCACTTTTTCCTTCTTTTATTTTTTAGACAGTCTGTCCACTCGCATGAAGCTGTTCTGCTCGGCATTTTTCAGCGCCTAGCAGATTTGCAAGGCTTTGTTCTTCGGGAACTGTCGCTTTTTTCGACAGTCGCGTTTTACGTCGTTGCCATATTTGTGTGCTATCTGCTCACTTCAACGAGTCGTACAAGGGATGCCCGATTCAAAATGTTCCTAGTGTTGACAGCGAATGCAGTATTGGAATATTGGGTATCGAGGATATTTTCTAGAGCCGAGACCTCGTGGGAAGGCAATATCTCGATTGTTTCGGTAAGTTTATGTGATGCAATTGCAAAGAGGGATAATAAAATGCTATCAAAAAAGAGGAATTTCCAGGAACTCATTTATTCTCTGATTTTTCTTTCAGGATTCTATAACTACGTGGGTTTGGATGCTGAGGAAGACAACAACTTGTTCGTTGATTGGAATTTTCGTCTGGTCGTGCTATTTTCACCAGGACCTCAAAGCCCTCAGCATGTCTGTGATGACAGAGATCCGACACGATAGTCTTGAAATAAAAAGGCTCTTATTACAGCAAATAGCAGGTATGAGTTGCCGAATAATTTTGTTTCATGATGGTAGCTCAAATGAAGTTTCCACGAAATAGTTTTATTCTATGCTTTGAGTAGCTGTCATTGATTCCTTTTTTGCGTGCACTTGAACGTGGTTCGCGACAATTTAAGTCATGTTGAAGTACTTCTCTGAAAATCCTTGTGAAGTCGCGGAAAACGATTAAAATCTTCGAGTTTAGCAGTTACTTGATTGTAACAAAAGTGCGGTCATTCAAAAAGACTGAGTCTTGTAGATCAGCTGGTTAGTGATCGAAGTAGTCAGGTTTAATTTCTGATGGTTTAAGGCAACAAATTATTCTTATGTTAAGCTTTTCTGTGTTGACTAAGAGCTAATTTTAGCATGTATTTGATTGCTCCTCAATTTTAAAATTTACCGAACGTATTTTAGCGTCGGGGAAATCGCCTGGTTACCCTGGATATCCTGGTTCAAGAGATTCTCTGGATTCCTCGTCCATGTATGTCTCGCCCATTTCGTCTCGAACCGCCGTCGACGCTTACTCCGTGAGCTCTGCTTCTACAGTCCTTGATGCAGATTCTATTCGCTCTACAGAGGAAATTGAAATATCTTCTCAAGCTACATCGGGTAAGTGGTTTCTTCCTATGGTATTAATTGCCCTACTCCTGTATCGGTTCATTTCTCGCATCTTTCAGTTTGTACATATTGTATTCAAGTTCCTTGAAAAACATTTGACCTGTCTTCGATTCTTTTCCAAGTTTTCAAAGTATTACAGTAGTGTTGATTTGGTTGGAATCTTGTCTGGCAGGATCCGGATTAGACGACCGTTTCGCAGTTGTCTTTTTGTTTGACCGCGATAATATTTTACACGAGGGCATACGGACGATGGCATCGACCACCTCGTGGCTACTAATCCCTGGCCCCTCAATCCCTAGCCCCTTTTGAATCCATTGTCACCCGGAGTTGACCCTTCTCAAACATTGTAATCGGGTTTGCTCGGTTTCACAATGTGGTAGTTTTCGAATGTTTTTAAACCTTCATACCTGTTCCAATCTTTTTTTTCTTTTATGCAATTGGAAAACTCACTGACCCACCAAAACCGCTGACAATGGGTTTGAAAATTGTCAACCCACAGTAACAAAGGAATTCAGTAGCGGACAGGGATTATGGGGATTTAGCAGCCACGAAATGATTGACGCTATGCTTTGAACCTTCTTATTTGTACTGTATTAGGAAATAATTGGGTGTTGACGAGGTCTTTGTTCGCCTTTTATTGCAGATGTAGCAAGAAGTGATACCTTTCGATCGGCTTCTTCGTTTGCATCGAGGAGTTCGAGAGGTTTCTCCTTGCCTGCAGCTCACCTTGCGAGGAAGGTGTCAACGCCGACGGTTGTCGATATACACGAGAATGTTTCGCGTTCAACGGACTGGCGGAAATCAAGAAAAGATGCTGCTCGAACCTTCATAGCGAAGACGATATCCGTACGTAAATGGAGAAACGGTTTATTAAATGGACATATCACTTCTGATATTTGGGTTTTAACTTTCTTTCTCTCTTGAGATGTAAACGTTTTTCAAGGACTATGTTTTAGATTTTAGAATAAATACTTTGACGCCCAAAGGTAATTCTACTTCGCGCTCTGAAGTTTTTCATTGCGGTTCAAAAGTACCGGAAGCATCCGCATTGATATCAGGAATGGAAACATAGAAACAATTGACCTACAAAAAATAGTATAGGCCAGCTACTCAGCTATATTATTTTTGTCAATTTTAATAATATCGGAACTAGAATCTACATTTTCTTACGTTTCAACACCCCGTGTTGTGACGAAGGGAAGCAAGAATTTTTGAAAAATCTACAGAAAACAATCAATGCACGGAGGGACTCGGTTTTGAGATTCTTGGGCGCACATTTTTTCAATTAAAAAATATGCACCTCCATGCTGACCAAATCATAGGACGAGTAAAACATCTTTCGAAGTTCCTAGCGACTAATTTTACGTTTTAATATCTTTTATTAAATTTCTATTTGTATAAAAAAATCATTGTATACTGTTGTATTTTACTGGGCATTGGTTCAAAACATTTGCTTGGCAGCATCTTTTAAACGGTGTGTTTTCTTACGCAGGACGAAAACCGAGAACCCTCGGCTTCTAGATATAATTTGAGATCGAGATCCAAAACCCCGGCCTCGAACAGAGGCTCACTCCCACCAAAATCTACGTCGGAAAACAGAAGGAAAACGTCGAGATCGCGATCCCGGGCCAGAACTTCGTCATCGCGTCTCATTGATGCTGGAAACTTGAGGAAATGATTTCTTGATCCCTTTTTTATTGATTTTTCTATGCAATAGAGTACTTCTGAACTGTTTCAAGTCTGTGTAGAAAACGCAGACTTCGCGTGCTGTGAAATTTGAAGGTTGATTTTCTCTTTAATGTAATAAGTATTGCGATGTGCTTCAGTTTTAACGAAGTTCATGTAAATCAATGTCTTTTGCATGTTCATCTGTATTTTTAATTTCAGTCGGTACTTTGGACTCTTGTGAATCATCTCGCTGAATTTCTGAATTGAAAATCGTGCGTTTTAGGACTTTTAGCTGCGATGAAAATCATACGTGTCGGTTTGCGGATTCTCGACGTGAGCTTGGCAAAATTTGGTTTTGTATGTTATTCTATTTCTTGTGTATGTTTTGGATCTTATTTGTGGTTGCAATCACATCTTTTCAAGCAATTCTGATATTTTTTTACGATCGCCAAAGGGCGTTAAAGTGTGTTGGTTACTTTTTGTACTCAATATTTGATGTTGAAAACTTGAAATTTCAAATTCGTTGTGTGATGAACTGAAAAATTATAGCTTGTTTTTTTTTTTCATTCTCCGTACGTTAGTGTACGTTTTTGCATACACGAGACTGGTGTTCAACTCTATATCTTACCTTTTGAAGGAGCGTGTGAAAAGTGTCCTAAAGAGAGTCAATCAAAATGGGTTCGATGATTGACATGACGGTGAGTTGTCTTGTTCTGCATTTTTCAATTTTTATTTGAGAAAATTCACTTACGTCGACGTGGCTTTTCAGGATCTCAAGTTTCGAGCTTTGAGGAGGCTCAAGCTTTCCGAACCGGACGAAAATAATCCCCAAGAAAAAACGCATATGATTTCTAACTGCTCCAAGTTCGGACTGGTGTTTGCTGCCGCCGGAAAACAGTTGATCAGTGAGTTATCGTTTGAATGTAGCCCTTTTTACCAATGAAATAAATAAGTACTACACTCTTTGATGAAGGAACGGCTAATTTTGAGGAAAACGTGTTTACGGGATTATATGGGGTTACCGGAACTAAGATTTCTCTGTGAAGCTGTATTGATGCCAAAACCTCGAATTGTTTGTGCCTCCTATTCATGCTGGAATCACTGGTTCAGATGGACTCTCTAAAACGGAATCCAGTGGACCAGAAAAAGTGTTATGAAGAGAATTTCGTTGTGGAGAAACCGTATGGGGAAAAAAATCATTTTTTCAGAGAAAATTGTTCAATCGTTGCAGAGAGTCTACCTGTACTGTTTCTGTAATGAATTGTATGAATTGAAATGCTAAGTTTAGGAGGCCGGACGTTCAAAATGAGTATCAATAATGCACTTAATTAACGTGGGCTGATTCTATAAATAGAAAATCTTCTTTTGGTGGAAGGAAGTAGATTATTTTTTAAGGAAGTTGCGGTTTCGGGTGCTGATGTTTCGCTCTTTTAAAACTGTGTACGCTTTTTTCATTTGACAGCGTTGTCTGCTGACGATATTCGTGCCTTCGACGACGATGGACAACAAACTCGTCAACCGGATGTTATTGATCACGGTGGACGTGTCACAACTCTGCCGGGTCACGCTGTTTGTGTGAAAACTAGTTGCGATGGCCTGACTGTTGGTGTTGTTTGTCAGACGACAGGAGCTGTTCGATTAGTTCTTTATGATGTCAGAGCGTTGAATGCTTCGGTGAGCCTTGAAGGGTTGAAGGATCCTTGAAATCTGATCACATTCGATGAAATACAGTCAAACCTCGATAAGCATCCAGCATATGTTCGTGACGTTTTTGGCGGTTTAAAGGAGCTTAGTAATGGTTTATCAAAAAAGCTAAAATAATGGGAAATAAAATTCTTATTCTCCTAAAAAACAAAATCAAAATAACTCTGAGATATTTAAATTACGTCTGGCTAATACTGTAGTTACCAAGAAGTAAATTGTCTTTTTTTAAAATTCAAATTGGAAACTTGTCACAGAAACTTGATTCTTGTTAGCGAGCTATCAAAGACAGAATTGATTGACAGGAGCATATTTGAGTTGTTGATAATTTTGGCGGATGGCGTTTTAACGGAGTTTCCCATGCTTATCTCATTAGGGTAGATTTATTTTTCGAAACAAATTGGTGGTTGTCGAGGGTGGCTGCTTATTGGGAGGCACCTTAACGGGGTTTGATCGTATTTTATTAATTTTTTTTTTTCAGAACTACGTTGGACCATTCATGCAAGTGCCTCTGACTTCTGAAACCGGAGTGTCAGTGACTGACTTGGCGTTCAACCCAGTTTCCCCGAATAGCCTTGCTGTCGTGCTTTCCAATGGCAAGGCTCTGCTTTTGGAAATCAAAGAGTCTTCCTTCGTTTTGAGCGACGCTCAGGGATTCAACTCGTGTCGATGTGTGTGCTGGAGTCCGAAAGGCAAGCAGCTGGTCATTGGTCATGCCGATGGTTCGTTGACTCAACATAAGCCGGATTGGACTCTCGCGAAGAAAATCCCGGCGCCAGACGCTGAACAGATTAAAAATATTACCAGTGGAGCCAATTGCGCCGGAGTTGAGGTTTTGAGTATTCAGTGGCTGTCGACGTTTGTCTTCCTCGTGTGCTATGGATCCCTCACGGATTCCGAATCATGTTAGTGGGAGCACGGAAAAAAAATTACCATGACTTGGATCATTTACAGAAATGAATTCTGAAATTCCGCAGATTTATGTATCCTGAATGCACCCAAGAATGCACCCTTGATTTTCAAGAGCTTTGGAGATATTTGTTACTCTTCAAACTCAAAAAGACGCCGCAACTTTCACTTGGAACCGCTTCGAGAATGGTGAGTAGCTATGGTAATCGCTCTGGATGAGGCTTTTAGAAAAAAGTTTGCAGGTCTAAGAACTGCTGACGATTTTTGAGTTCTTTATTGTTTGATCCGCACCCTTTTTTAGCCTCTAAATTCATGTTCTTATCTGACAGATCAGTTCTAATGTTCAATTCTGTGGCTAGCTGGGCAAAACTTCTTCGAGGTAGACTCACGCATCAGTTGAGGTTTGACATGGATATCAGGCTAGGTTAATTATTCGTGGATCTTGGGTAAGATCTGTAATTCATCAGGAGTTGAATTGATTTATTTTTGCCTAGTGTTTCGATAGAAAGTACTGGAAATCTTGAAATTTTGGAGGTAGCACGTAAATTAGTTTCTGTGAAGAGGTTGGGCAAGCTTCAAAATTGGAATTCCGAGATTAATTTTGAATTGGAATTCCCAGATCAATTTTGAGACTTTTTTAAAACCCAAAATCAGAGGCGATTATTCAAAAATTTCTGCTATTTTTCAGGGGTTTGATTTTATGCTCGAGTGCGAATGCTGTGGATGTTGGGGTGTTGGGTAAACTATCCCTAGCCGATCCCGACGATGCAATGAATCATTTTTGCCTGGATGACAGTTCTCGGGCAGAAGTGCCTTTGGGCCCGAATGACGAAGAACATGCTTCATTGGGTCTTACATTGGACTTCTCGTCATCTCGTCAAATTATCATTGGTGATTTTTTTATTGATTTAAACTTTACTCTTTCATCTTGATTTTCGAAAATTTCTTACATCAAGTAGGCGTCACCGTAGTCTTGAATGTGACCAAGCATTACCCATTGAACCTGAACGTAACATTTCCTGACACGTGGAATAACGTTTATTACATCAATCAGGCCACAAATATGTAAAACATCTATGTGATCAAAAATATAATCCCGGATTTTGGCACGCGGGGTTATCAACAAAAAAAAAACTCTTTCGCGAGGAATCTTTTGACTTCGTTTGTCAACAGTTTTTCGATAGCCAAAGCGCACGTAATCGTTCAAATATTCTATTTGAGAATTCTATCAAGTATCAAATGAGCATACTTGTTTTGCCATTATTATTTTTTTTACATATGCGCATGATTTGAAATTGTCTTTCAGGCGCGTGATGAAATCCCTCGTTTAATCTTTTCTTTTGGTGCTTGCTGGGGTGGATGAAATCAGGAGAAAACGCATTTCCGCCTGCTCCGCTTTTGTTGTTATACACGACCAGCGGTTTGTTGTGTCCATATCACGTGATGTACAACAAGCCGGATTTGCCGAATGTCATGATCCCGAGAGAAGACCTGAAGGCCACAGGGAATGCGAGACCGTCACAACATCCTGTGTCGCCAGCTCCGTCAAGTCTGCCTCCAGCTGCTGTTGTTGCGCCAAAGCCATATTTTCCACCTGGATCCGGTAAAAAATTGCTTGCTTTACTGACTGTCATTCAGTTCAAATGGCTATAGGTTTTTGATGCCTCGAAAGAGGAAAAAATGGCTACAAGTTCTGATACTTCGAAAGGGGAAGAATAACTCGCCTAATTTGTTTCTTATAATGGGCTTCAACGTACAGTATTCTCTAAATTTGCCCCAAGAAGGTTTAATATTTGTCATCAAATTTGGATATTTTTCTGAATTCGTTGTTCAGCGACGTGTTTCATACTGTAGAACTTCATTAACTCGTAGAAGCTGCAGAATGCCTAATTTCTCATTGATTATTTAATTTCTCGCGGTTTTTACAATTAATTAATGCAGGGGTTTTTCGTTTTATTTCAACTCGATTTTTTGAAATGCCAAACCGTTCGTTTCTTGCAGGGAATTTCTCATCGCCATTTGCGGCACCTGCGAAACCAAATGTTACTGCTGCCACTTGTGGGATTGCAAATCAGCTGCAAGCAGCCATGTTTCCGACATCAGCAGTCCCTGTTCAAGTCGTTCAGTCCCCAGCTGTAACTGAAGTAAAGCCCTCCGTAGCTGTTGTCACTGCCGCGGAACAAGAAGCAAAAATTGCAGCGAGAGAGCAGAAGGAACGAGACGCCGCTAAGGAACTGGAAAATCAGAGGCGCTCGGAAGCTGCCAAATGTCAGTTGGCTATCAAAGAAGAAATCGCCATGTTCAGTAAAGAATTGGCGAAACTGCAAATGAACACGTCTCGCAGTAATTTCAGCGTGAGTGCGGTTTTGAATATGAAATTAATGGAGCGATCCCGTTTTGCAGTTTTAAATAAAATAAAATGTATTTTTAATAGGAACTCTTCATGTTAAGATTTTTTTGTTTTGCTTTTTAGGTTGCCGATCAACAGGAAAAAATTCTGTTGGAGACGAACACTTTAGCGCTGAGCAAAAGGATGAAAGTCATTGAAAAACTCACTGCGGACATCAGCGATAAAATCAAGGACTTGCAGACATCTCTCTTGGAATCCTTCGCATCGATTGAAGATGCCGAGCAGCTTGCATTCCGCAATAAGGATCCGAGGTACTTTTCATATTTCTGTTGCATAATTTGGATATCTAGTTCATTGCTGCCTGAAACAGTGAAGCTACCCTCAAAATAAAAAAAAAGCCGTTCTCTCAGTGAAAATGATTTGAATTGTGATCCATCACATTGTGCTTGGTTTGTAGTTCTGTATCTAATGCGATATAATGCCTGTAACTCGTGATATGGAAGCTGCATTCTGGGCTTTCCCTTTTTTTCGATATTATAGAAAATCTGGAATCGAACGAATCTATTTGTGGTCCAATAGAGCAGTAAACCGTGTTTGAATTAATCCGTCGCACTAGTATAATGATTTAGGGCATTTTCAACTTCCTAGTTCGGGGAACATTTTGATTCGTTCTCCACGAACGTTCATGAAAAAAAATTATTTCAAGTCTCTCTCTATTTTTTTTAAAAATCTCTATTTTGTACAGGTACATGCAACTTTTGGAGCTACATTCTCCCGGCATTTCTCTGTCGAAGAAGATATTCGCTCTTCGCGGTCAGCGCCTGTATATCCATGATCAAATTTCGCTGGCGCAAAAGGCTCTGGGTCAAGAGTTGTTGGAGATTGACGTGGCTTCCCGGAGACTGAATTCGCCAGGATTGGAAAGCTTTCAACGGCGCCTACACGACAACGTTGATCCGAGATCGTTGCAGAGTTTCGCTCAGAAAGAGAAACTTATTCTACACAATGCTGCGACGAGATTGGAAATGATTCGGAGGCGATGTGATAGGTTAGATCCTCGAGGACGTGGGGAAACTGCCCCTGTTCGTGTTCAAATGTCTCCCCCTGCAACTTCGAAGCAAAGCTCAAGGAAACCGTGAGTATTATGATCGTATGACCGAAATACTAAATGCCATCGCGTTCATAAATTTTTTGACGATTTTATCTGAGATGCATTGATTTTTGTACAAAATGTGATCATTCTAAACTTTCATATAATATTTCGAAACGAGAATTGCCGTTCCCAAGAGGTTTTTTGCTGTCCGGGAAAATTGTTTTCAATTTTTAAAAAGGTTCTTTTGTCGACGATTACGATGAAAAATTGATAGATTCCATTTTCAGATAAGGATGGCCGATAAAAAAAAAATTTTACAGTAATAAGTTCCACTTATTTTTATCGCCGATCTCGATTCGCTCCTGTGGGTACCCGGTAAACGACGCAGGTTGAAAACGACGCAAGAAGGGCTTAAGCCTTTGAAATCCTCTCTGGCGCCGTTCTGAGGTTGCAGTCAGCGGTCAGTCTTGCCAACAATATTTCAGAAAATTAACTGCACTCCAGGTGCCTCGAAAATCCAATGAATTTCCCAGGCTTGCTGTGGGAGAAGTCCTAGGTGCTCCAAAACACTTGAAACAATTTATTTAATCTGTAATCTTCTAATCCCTCTTGTTTGGAGCATTTATTGGGTGGTCTCTGCATTTCTCTTTAACAATTTAAGGAAACTTTCTACACTTCCAAATATTTCCTATATAACCTGCATATTTTCCTCCTGAGCTCTCAGTATCCATAGTAATTTTGGCTTACTTTATTGTGTGTTANAGCAGCAGTTCTATAGACGTGAAGGTTGTAATACACTATGAAACAAGCACTGTTTATATTTCAATTTTATATATAGAAATCTTCATAGTTTATAGCAGCAGTTTTTTAGGAAAATATTAACAGGAAATGCAATCTACCTATTTATGAAAAAAATCTCGCTGGGAGTGCAGCAGAAGTTCACCAGTAATATGTATTTAAAAATCAGCAGGAAAAAAGAAGTATGGTAACTCTGCCTGTGGCTGGCCCCCATTGTGGTGGTCAACATTCCCGGACAGCTTAAGCCGGCTTAAACCTCTTGCGTCGTTTTCTCCTGGTTGATCTTCCGTACGCCCTCCTGTGAGTACCGTATCTCTTTCAAGATTAGAATCATCCGACAATTCTCTATCCTCTGCGCAGTAATTCTTTGAACGCCGTGACCAAGTGGAAGATGGAAAATTGTAATGCCTGAACAGTATTTCGCTGCAATATTTTTTTTTAGTTTGATGGAAAGCAACTCATGGGCATCCGCTGGTGGATTTAAAAATGCAGAAGAGGCCAAAGAGACACTCTGCGATGGGATTCCTCAACTTGACCAGGGAAAGATCAAGTATCTCTGGTCTATGTACGTATCAAAAACGTCAGTCCCTGTGCGGAAAGTGAAATGCGCTCGAATTCCTGGATTCGGAGCCGCTCCGAAGGTTGTTCCCGAAAAGTCGTTGGAGAAGGAAACCCCTCAAGTAGTGTCACTTCCGAAACCGACAGGAAAGTCTCCAAATGTCTTTGCTGAGTTGAAGAAACAATCCATGATGGAGCAGAAATCGTTGGAATTGTCTTTGAAAACCGCTGCTCTTGCCAAACCAGCGGAAATTCCGAGTACCGCGCAAAATTTCGTGCCGGTTCCTGCGTCACCCAAACTGAGCGTTTCGTTTGCCAAAAAGCCGGAAGAACCTGCTCCTCGATCATCGAGCTCGTTTTTCGGCTCATTTTCTTCCATTATCAGTAAACCGTCGTTTGGCGACAGTGCGAAAATTGCTCCCGTCATCACAACCTCTGCACCGACGGCATCATCCAGTTTCGCTTTCGGAAAAGCGGATGCGCAGCCCAAGTTTTCTTTCGCTCTGCCGACAGCTACAACTGCTCCTACAACATCGACGACGACGACGGGTATGGCTACCATCACCTTATCGGAAAGTGTGTCGAAACCCCCTGCTTCATTTCCGGGGGTAGGTTTTGTCTTGGGCGGCTCTGCCGACACTGCTGCGGCGGAACCCGACGTGAAGGACACCAAACCCGTGCTGAGTATTTTCCCGTCGTCAACTCAACAGTCGAAACCGTCGGAAACGCTGTGGTCCCCGGCGGCGCTGGTCTCGACACCTGGTGTTTTTGGTGCGATGGCATCACCTGGAATGAGTGTCATCACGAGTGCTTCGGCTGGGGATGGTGTACGATCCGCTTTTGCCGCCACACCTAGTAGTAGTATGGTCAAGATAGATCTGAAGGAGACTCCAACCACGAAGCCCATTTCGGATGCATCGAAGCCGGCTAGCGTTGCGATGATCTCGGCTGGTTTTGGTACCCCTGCAAAAACAGAGGTAGGAACTGATCGAGATTTTTCTATAATTTTAAATTCAAGAATCGCCGTGTGTTTTGAAACCGAGCTTTACAGCCCAAGTTCTGATTCCCTGTCGTGTCTACCGCCTTTACGTAAAAGGTTTGGTGAAATATTGGACTTGAGAATGCACCTTTTTTCTAAAAATTCAGAGGAAAAAAGGGGTGCGCGTTATAAGCGGGTATAAATGTCTTGAATACTGTAGTTTTAGTTCAGGTATACATTATATTTTATTCCAGTGGGAACTTTTGAATCAATTTAAGCAGAAAAGCTTATTGGAATGGAAAAAATTAGTTGAATCAGGTTCATTTCTTGGGTGTTCTTATTTTTTAAATATTGCAATTTTAGAGGCATTAAAAATGGGGCGCTTTTCTTGTTCGGGGAAACAATTTCAGCAAAGCTTTTGACTGAAAACCCTTGGTGCGTGTCTCACTCGGGGGCGCATGGTACTTGAGTAAACAAGGTACGAAACAAGGTACGTTTTATATTTCGTGAGCAGAAGCTTCGAGGAAATGAGCTCAACGTTAACTTATAAAATGGTACTGCATTGAAAAATCGGACCCTTGAGAACACCGTAAAGATGACCGTGGCAAAACCTGATCTGAGCTATGCTGAGCTAATCTAATCCAAGCTACCCTCAATGTAGCACGACCAAACTAGGATGTAAAAAACTTCATCAGAACTTGGCTGACGTCTATGTACAGTATCTTCGAAGTTGATCGCAGTCACGGATGTGTGTGTGTGTGTGTGTGTAATTTATCTTACCGAAATTGTTGCTCGTTGAGGTTGTACTCGTTTTAAACTGATTATGTCTGGTAACTCTCAGGTGTCGAAGCCGTCTTCCGTCACTTTTGGAGGGACGACCATTATTCCCCTTCCGCGAAATGACGCTGCTCAGGCGCCACCTGCTTTCAAGCCAAGCAGCACTGCCTTTGCAAGTCCTTTCTCGATGACGACGACGACGACGCCGCCTGTTTCTTCTGCTACGTCACAACAACAACCACCACCACCGGCAGCGACGACGTTAACGACTACATCTGCGCCGATTTCTGCAGCACCTCCGTCGAAAACGACGACTGTCGAGCTTCTTTTGAACGCCCCGTCTGCGTCCACCTTACCGCCAAGCGGTGGGCTTTTTGGGAAGCCTTTCACGACGGCAACTGTTGCCACGTCTGGTGCCGGGAAAGATGCTTCTTCCTTTAGCTTTAGTTTGACGCCGTCAGCGACAGCGACTGACAGCCAAGCAGCGACGACGACGACAGCTTCGTCCCTGAGTTCCTTTTCGTTTGCCATGAAACCAGCTCCAAACGTGACTGTAACATCGTCATCCCCGTTTGGAGGTTTTGGTTCTGCCCCAGCTGCTTCTGCTGCTGCTGCGACGACGACGTCATCGTCGTCAGTCTTCGGTGGGTAGCGTTTTGAATCTTTTTGACCTCGACAGAAGGAAGAGACGAGCTCGATTTTGAATCACTGACTCAGACTGAGAATTTCGTTTATCCAGTTTTCCCCTTTTTGTTGTAGAAAAACTTGCTCCTTCATACTGTAATGTGTCTTTATTGCACAGCAAGCTTGAGTAGCCCAGCCACACCTGGGCATCAAATTTTGTCACAATTTTTGGAAAGTTTGAATTTCTCATCAATCAGAATTGCGTGTTTTTTGCTTTACCGTGCTCGTTACAATTTTGTCATGAGCAGGGTTTTTATTTATTAAATCCAAAGCAGATCAAAGATGGACTCTCTTCACAACAAATTCAAGGAACCAGAAACAAGTTTTTTGTACAGAGAATTTCGTTGTAGAGAACACTTTTAACATGGAGAGAAAAACCTATGGGACCAAAAAATCGTTAAAAAGAGAAATTCGTTGTAGGCAAGATCGTTGTGGCAAAGTGTCCACCTGTGTGATGTCTTCAGCATAATGTCGATCAGTGTTCCCCAATGCCTGGTCCTCTTGACTGGCATCAGTATGCCAAACTTGTTTGCGGTTCGATTGCAAAAATTATTTACCATGCAAGGGAAAGCGCTGAGTAGGCAGACGATTTCTGACAATGTTCTGGCCATAAAATTGTTTAGAAATGCAGATGGAAAAAAAATTTAGTAGATTAAAAAATTAACCTAAAAAACCACGTTTTCAAAAAGCAAAAAATATTGGACAAACAAACAGACAAGAAAGTGAGTTCATAAAAACGTGGTAATAATAATAATAAATACTAATGCATTACAAAAACACAGTACTGTACTGTGTTCATTTCTACATATTAATGCCTTCTACGTTGTACAATGTAGGTGGCTTTGGATCGACATCATCGACGCCGTCGTCTTCTTCCCCATTTGGTGGATTCGGTGCGTCGACATCGGCTGTCGCAGCTCCACCACAGACCACGACGACAGTGTTCAGTGGCTTTGGTTCAGGACCTGCTACGGTGACGTCTGCTTCACAGTTCGGAGGTTTCGGCGGTTCCGCCGCCCCTTCTACCGCCGTGACATCATCTTCCACATCTGGATTCGGCGGTGGGGGTGGTGGAACGTGGGGCGCCGTCTCGTCAGCAACCCCTGCGAAATCCCCGTTCGGCTCGTCGGCGTTTGGCGGCTTTGGGACGCCGCAGGCTGCTGCGACGACGACAGCGCAAACGCAGTCTCCTTTTGGTGGATTCGGATCGACACCTGCGCCTGCCGCGGCTGTCTCGCCGTTTGGCGGTGGTTTTGGTTCGACACCGACAGCAACCACGACAAATGCCAATAGCCTGGGTTCGTTTACGAGTTCGTTTGGAAATGCGTTTGGACTCGGATCGTCGTCGTCGACGGTGCCTGAGAATAAGAATCCCTTTGGAGGCAGCACGAGTTTTGCGGCGCCGAGCAGTGGTGGCGGTGGTTCCGTGTTTGGCGGCTCCGCGACGGCAACAACGGCTGCGAGCAGCATTTTCGGCGGCAGTGGTGGCACCAGTACGGGCTTTGGACAGACGAGCCCCTTTGGTTCTTCGATGGCTGGTGGGGGTGCGGCCAGTGCGTTTGGAAAGCCTGCTGCCCTGGGCACGGGTTTCGGTAAATATTGTTTTCTTTTGATTTTTCCTCAAAATGAAATTGCTTGAAATGCTACGAATAAAGGATGACCTTCGAGTCATTGTGCGTATCTGTCATGTATCAGGTTCGGTGTTGACTGTTGAGCGAAGTTAACTGCAAGTATAAAATTATGATTATTCAGTATCAGAAGATTGAAGCGTTTATAATCAAGTGCGTCAAATTGATTCAACTTTTTTTCCAGGACAACCACCGGCCTTTGGTAGTTCTCCGTCTAATGCCTTTGGTGGTGCACCTGCCTTCGGACAGCCGAATGCATTTGGTGGTTCACCTGCTTTTGGAGCGGCGCCGTTGTTCGGTGGTTCACCTGGCGGTGGAGCAAGTTCTCCGTTTGGTGGTACTGCGACTGCGGGATCACCTACTTTCGGATCGTGAGTGGGATTTTCCATTTACAGTACTTTACTGACTCCTTCGGGAACGATTTTAAGAGATTGAAATACTGTACAGTAGTTTTTATCTTATTTTTATAGCTTTGAGACTAAATTTTGTTGATGTTTTTTCTAGACTGGCTGCCAGCCAAGATGTGCCTACCTTCGGCAGCTTATCAGGATCTACTGGAGGTGGAGGTTTCGGGGGATTGGGTTCTTCCGCAGGAGCTCAACCTGTTGTTGGGGGTAATCCTGGGTTTGGATTTGGAGCTGGAGCTGCAGTCAATACTGGTTTCGGGGGTTTTGGGCAATCAGCCCCCAGCCAACAACAACAGCAGCAGCAGCAACAGTCTTCATTTTCTGGGTGAGTAATGTGAAGTTTTTGGTTTTGAACTTTTCTTTCAGTTCTAAGGAATTTTTTTAATTTGTCCAGAGGGTCTTCCTTCTCGTCATGGCGTTAATGATAGGGCACTTCCGACGATGATTGGAGCCCGGGAAACCTTGTGAAAACCTCGTGACGGAAAATATTCTCTTCAAAGAAGTTTTTTTTTCATGATCGGTCATATTTTTTTTTGTGCTGGATTTCTGTGTTCTCTATTTCTGCTGCTGAGTTCTTGTCGTATAAGAAAAAAATTTTCAATGGACTGATTTTTTCGCGCCTTTCTTTCTAAGTTGCTTATTCGTGCGTTTCTGTAATTGTTCGCACCTCCTTCCACTTTTCTTTAAAAAGAAGTTCAAAATTATGTTTTCATGTCTCATGAAATATTCGTACCCCAACGAACCAAAGTCGTTCTATCACTGTGTTTGCTGGGCAAAACGTTTTTAGGGGATTCGCATTTTTCATTGAGCTTTAATGGGAAACCCTCAAGTGGTTCCTGTCAGTGAAATCTACTAGAAAACTTCAAGACAATTGCCCGAATTTCAAGAAAACAGAGAGCAAACTTTTGAAAATACTTCTACAGTCCACTTCGGTGCACTTGAAAATCATTGAAAAATGTTTGTTGGTCAATTCCTGGGTAGTGTTAGCGTGCGTTAAAAAATGAATTGATGCACACACACACACACGAATGAATCGCATAAATATATTTAGAAAACGCCTCAAGGAAAAATCCGCTAGGTGATACAATGGTTTTTTTTTCTGGAAAGCTCGTTTCTCAGTTGGACTTGACGATGTTCTTCGAAGGCGCCTCGTAGCTCAGAACCTTGTTGAACCAGGGCAAAAAGTGTGATACCCGGGTGTAAATTCCGGGAACAAGTGGACGAGCGCATCCAACTCCGGCGGAAACTATTCCGATGAGTTGAAGTTGACCGGTAGCCGCGTCACGGACGACCAAAGGACCGCCACTGTCTCCCTGTGATCATTATTATTTTTTTTGACATGCGAAAAAGAATCATCGTTGCATTAGTTTTATATCGCAGTAATGCATCCCTGAAGGAATCTATAACACGGGTGAACCTCTTCGAGTTTAACTTCGATTAAAGAACCAGCAAAAAATTGGGGAGATTTTGAGTTTGGTGAACAGCTAAGGCAGTACTCTCCAACCTTTTGACCCGCGGACCAGCAAATTTCCATAACTTTTTTTGCGGACCAGCAAAGTCACAAAAAATGTTCTGCGGACCAGCAAGGTTTCATAAAATGTTTGCAGACTGACAAAAGTTTTGCTTGGAAGGCTTTATGGGAGGTATTTCTAAGTTTCTGCTTATTTTGGCAAAAATTGAGTTGAGCACAAATGAAGCAGCTACAGTAAATGGCTGAATGTCACCAAAAAATTAGAAAGGTGCGCTTGAAGGAAGGTGTTTCATAACAGAAAATTAAAATGATTTATTTCAGCAGGTGACAATTTGTCTGAAGTTTTATCTGGAGAAAAGCCAACTTTTATTTTCATCAAATAATTTCAACTGCCATTGTCTTTCCAAAACTTCAGGTGAAGATAACATTCTTGATCCCTACTTTTGATAAATTTATTTTGCTGAAAATTTCCTTCAGACTGGCAAAAAACTTCTGTGGACTGGTGTTGGTCTGCAGACCACAGGCTAGGTTGCTTGGGATCTTTTGAACCTTAAACTGCAGAATAAATAAGTTCACAAACCACTAAACTTTGAGATTAAGTGTTGATTTGCCCAATTAGTCACTCAATTCTTTTTGAATATCATCATGTCACTTTTTAGTGTATTTTTCTTCCTAAGCAACAGCATAAATACCCAAAGACCTCTAGGAATTTTTTTCATGGAGGTTTGAGGGAGAAAGTATTCAAGTAAATGAGGTTCATTATGTATTGTGTTCAAGAAAATTTGGATGGGGATGAAAAAAAAATTGACATTCAGTGTTTTTTGACAGGCATTTATGGGTGTATCTAAATAATCAGCGCAGGCATCTGCAGCCATCAGCTAGGATAATTTGAGTTACGCTGTGCTATATTATTTTCTTTGGTTATTTCTTTTGGTTGTTCATTTAGACTGATTTTTATTTTGAAGAAAATCAATGGGCACCCAGTGTACAGTACCTTATACCGTATATCTTCATAAATTACTTGCATTGACAGTGACAGGAATTTTTTGTAGCGTGACTTACAGTATATTGAGCCCCTGTTTAAAACGTTCTGGAAACTTGGCTAGAGTTCATTCTATGATACATTATAGCCCAATTATATTTTCTGAGGAAGGACACAGTTTCACCTCACTGCATGGGAAAGGTTAAAAAAAAGAATTACTGGGGAAATTCTGCGTGAAAAATTTTTTTTTTACCTGACATGAGTCCCGACCTCCAGTGAGTCGACCTCCAGCACAGAGGTGACTGTCACGAACGTTAAGAGCAAGAACCAGTTGCAAACTGCAAGACAAATTTGGCACAACTCGCAGCACAACTTGCTGCAAAACATCGCTTGGTGACGATGCTCCTGAAAGAAGAATGAGGAATTTCAATCCCAATTTTAAACTTTCTTGTAATAATCTTTTTATACCTCTTTTCACCCAAACGCTGATATTTTCATTTACTTTTACAGTATATAAAGATTTAGTTTTTCAGTATTGTCCGGTGAAGTGAACTCATTTCGGACGAACTCAGCTTCGTTTTGAAAATTCCTGGTTATTTTTCTGTTGAATTAATCCCGCAGGACATTTTAATAAAATGGGTATAAAATCAATGTTCCCATGAAAATATGACTTCTTTTTTCAATGCATTCTTCTTCGCATCAGTATAAGAAAAGCCGCACGGTATTCAGAATTAATTACAGAACTTTTTTTCGTCTATAAAAGCAGCAACCTTTTTTGAGCAGGGGTTCCGATTTTTATTCTCGCATCGTCCTGAATCATCAATTTTAATTGGAGAGTTTTTATTCGGTACACTTCAATTTTATGCATTAATCTGCAAAATTAAGACGATGATATCTGGGAATCGATTATTTATCTACAGTTTGTGCCGTTTGTGTATACTGTATATGAAGCCCGAACACGATTTTCAGAAATATTTAAAATGTAAATCATGTTCAATTTTTGTACGTATGTATACTGTACCTTCTCTGGGCACACCCCAACCGATGGCTTGAACTTCCCACCATTCAAATTTCTCGGTGTCAGAATCCGGCAAGCAAATTGGCTGAGTGAAGGCATCCCATTTCAATGCGTCCTCCGGCTTCAACTGCAATATTGCGATGTCATTCTGCACGTTTCTGCCTTGAGCTGCAAAATTCAGGGTCATGGATATTCTGGCTGCTTGATCAACACCTTTTTATTGAAGTCATCATTGTGGTTCTCTGCCTAATGTAATTCACGTACAGTTCTGGGAATATTTTTATCCGTCAATTTTGAACACACACTTGATGTACTGCTTATATGATACCTTTCTTGTTGAATAAATGTGATAATTTTTCAAAATACAGTGTAAACACGAAAAATGGACTTTCATGCTCACTTATTCACGGGGATTGTAACATTTTCCCGAAAATGTGATAGCTGTAATGAAACCGTTGGAATGTATTGAAACCGTGTTCTGTTTTATCATTGACAAAAATCCAAATCTTCGACTCTAATCAGCACCATCATTAGACATCTAGCTGTCAGAAGACTTATATTTGTGCAGGGGGAATCTCTTTTTCCTCCTTTTGCATATTGCAATTCGTTTCCATCATGATAAGGAGTCTGTTCTTTTATTGAGTGCTCCGAATTCTATTATCGATTTTTACTAACCAGAAAAATCCTTGTGGATAAAAACGCGTTTCGGCCGAAGAATCGCTCCGTTCGGAAATTCCTGGTCGCTGAGATGATGCTCTCGCGTGTAAATGTCAATCACTTGTCCGAGTCGCCTGATGTATACCAAATAAAAATACATATTAATGTCAAAGGTGAAATAAGTCTGGGATTGGATTGGAATGTTGACGCATTGTCTAAAATTCGCCCAATGCTTTGAGGAGATTAAGTTAATGATATTTTAGCTAAATTTTTCCGAGTATTTAAATGATTGTTAGGATTGTATAAATCCTACCATATTGACTAATACACGTATAACAGGGTATTTTTTCATGAGGGAAACTGTTCAGGAAGAAGACTTTTTTACATTCTAAAAACCGGATTTTTCCTGGATGCATGACTTCATTTGATTGTTTCTTACATGCAGGTGGTATCTCGCAATTTGACCCTAATCCATTGCTTTACTAGGGTTGAATTGCAAAGTGGTCAAATTTTGAGGCAATGTCACATGGCATTTGACGTTTCATGTCTCTCCACAGGTCAAATTGCGCAGCAGAGGTTGAAATGAGAGCTGACCTCGCAGCAAATTTGACCGTTGAATTGCGGGATGGTCAAATTGCAAGGTACCACCTGTGCAGTTATTTTGCTAAGTTATTGAGAAAATTTAAGGGGCGAAAATTAATGATTCACTGGGAAATTTTTTTGAGGATACCGTATTTTCAAATTCCAGGATATAGTTAGTATAGCTGCAATAGACCTGACCTGAGGTTATGTTTTGTGGAAATCTAGACAATAAAACCAAGGTTTGTTGTGCAACGACAATAAGCAAAGCCGCCTGAAAATTGACTTATTGACAGTCCCATGGAAGTTAACTCATTATTCGTTTCTACATTTTAAATAACGTCATTTGTAGATCATGCATGAATTCAAGAAGTTCCTGAAAATATACCTGCGAGAGCCACCACTTACAGGTAATATTGAAGTTGAAAATCAGAAATTAGCTTAAATTCATCTTCCACGCATGGTTCATTACTGTATTATACATGCAGTACACATAGTTCAAGGTGCACTTTGGTAATTTGCAAATGCCCGTTTTTTGCAGAGGAAATTTTCCGCTGAAAAAATAATATTCATGCTTTACACTCCTCTGTTGAATATTCGCCTTTTGAGCGAAGGTGGCAAAAATAAATACCGTACTTGGTGGGCGTCCTTCGTTTTTAAATGAATATGCGTGAAAATTCGCACTTAATCATAGTTCACTCCTGTCACAGGATGCACCAAAATAAACGAAACAGATTTTAGAACTACAGTATGTCTCCTAAAAGGTTCAAGCTATCGCACAAAACAATCGTCAAATTAAGGAACATTCAACTACGCCGTATTTTCAAATTCCAGTTCAACCTTCCAAGGTCAAATCTGTTGCAGTAAAATTTCGATGAATATTATCTTAAAGGAAATAAGGCAGAATTAGAGACTACCGTATACGAGTGCGGTATTGAACTGTATACAGTACTTTCATATATACCTTACTACACAAAAAAGGATTGAAATTTTTGGGTTTTTACCCATCATCTTTTCTACTTTTTAAATACTATTTAAAAGGACAAAAAAGTCTATTTTTGGCTTGCCTGAAGAATTTTTATGTCATGAAATGGGTGGAGAACTCTGGCTATAACTGCATAGGAAGTGTTAGCACATCATCATGCAGTAAATTGAAAAACTTTTTCAAAAATCAAAAAAAAAAATCCAGGACCTTAGAACATCATGGGCTATGTCAGGATTTCTTTTAAACACACCTATAATCAAAAAATATCTGAGGTCACGTCCAACTGGGACAAACTTTGTATGATAAACCTCTATAGTCTTATGCAAGCCTTTTTTATTTTTATACAGTATTTATTGGGGACAGATGTTGCCTCAATATAATTTGGTGTGTAAAGCAGATTGCAAAGAGTATGAGTATAAATGAAAAGCAGTAATGAGCCCGGGACAAGGGCTGGAATTCCTGGGTTAAGAAGTAAGGATATATTTCAGAAATAAGATCACAACTTAGCAAGCTCTTGCTTCAATTGGATAAAATGGATAAAATGATTTTTCTATATTAATTTTAAGTTCTGCAATTTACCATCATGACTATTTATATTTAACCTTCAATAGCCTTTGTAAGCCCTTCATAAGGCTTGTCAATCGGTTTTAAGAGGGAGGTAAAAACTCTAGATTACTAGAAGATTCAAGTCAATTACATCATTAATTTGCTTGCCTAACAGTATTTCTTCTCTATTTTGTATGTGATAAACGTCTATAGTCTTACGCAAGCCTTTTTTATTTATTTATTTTGTTGAGAAAAATTGATGAAATGATAATGACCCGCTGACGCAGTGAGCAGCAGTGACGACATGTCGGTCGTTGATGATGGCACCGCCACAAATGTGTTTTCCTCCCACCTTAAGCGACACCATGAATGACATCATTACTACCACATTTGCTGAAGAAATCAGCATCTCTGTCGCCGTTTTTAATGCTGATTTGCTGTTTATGGCTGCCGAGTACAACTTCTCTGCTGAATCGTAAGTAGATAACAGTAATCCTTGCATTGAATGTTTTACTTACAATCTTTGAAAGGAAAATAAATAAATAAATTAGGCTTTGTTTCAGTTGATGCTGCGACAAATCCGCATGCGCATGGCGGATTGTTCGCACGATCAAGAGACTCGATGTGGTCGATATTTTTGCTCGAAGGACAGGAAAAATACGTGAAATAAATCCTGCTTTTGATGAATTTAAAAGACAGTACAAAATGTAAGTCGTTTAAAATCCACGCCTGACTTTTTTTCAGGTTAATACGGTCTTTTATGAACATTATTCGTGCAAACCTGTAAATATAAGACGAAGGAAGGAAACACAGGTGGACTATCTCAAAAACGATCTCGTCTTGCAACTATTTTCCCTGCTGTACAGCTTTTTTTTTGTCCCACAGGGTCCAGCACTCTCATTTTATAGGGGTTTCCTACATCGAATTTTTTTCTGATCGTCGAATTTCATCTTAGAGAGAGTCCACTCCATTAAAGTTCGAAATCTCTTTAAAAATTGTGCTTTTGAATTTTTTCTTTGCAAATATATAAGCCATAATACCACAGGGAAAAATTCGAAGTCAATGTACAATGTATACAGTACAGTATATGCAACCGATGCATGGAATTTTCATCCATCATATTTTCATCTTAGGCAAATGATTTTGTCTTTGTTTGCAAGATTATTTTAGATCAAGAATTTAGTTGACAAATTGCATCAATTTTAAAATGTTGATCATCATGTCATGTTTTGTTTAGTGACACGGTTCCATGGATGATGTAAAAATTTCTAAAAGCACATGTTTATATTTTATTTTAATCGGACGAAAATACGTGATCATCATTTGCAAAGAGATCGATTCATTTGGAGGACATTCCAACGGTAAATGTCCTGTACCGCTTCAAATATAATATTTTGTATTCTGTTTTGTTCATAAATTAAAAATGAAATTCCCACGTGAACCTGGAGTTATTGTGTCTCTGGTTCGGCATTTTAAATATTGTCAAAGTACTGTTCTTTCTATAAAAAAATAATAATATACAGGATAATCCAAGAATATCAGTTTCTCTTTGCAGAAAATACATGCGTTTATATTCGAACGAAAAAAATTAATGTTTTAACATTCAATTTGAAGGATTACTGTTATCTACTTACGATTCAGCAGAGAAGTTGTACTCGGCAGCCATAAACAGCAAATCAGCATTAAAAACGGCGACAGAGATGCTGATTTCTTCAGCAAATGTGGTAGTAATGATGTCTAAGGATTACTTTTATCTACTTACGATTCAGCAGAGAAGTTGTACTCGGCAGCCATAAACAGCAAATCAGCATTAAAAACGGCGACAGAGATGCTGATTTCTTCAGCAAATGTGGTAGTAATGATGTCATCTTCAATTTCACTTTATATTCTAAAAAAAATTTCTGGTTTGGAGATGGAAAACGAAGTGATTCTGGGCTTTTAAAAAATAAAATTCAGTTGGCGTCACAGAAACTATTAAATTGAGCACTTCAGTGCAGAACTGGAAACCTGAAATAAAGAGGCAATGATGATTTCCTCATTTTCACCCAAAATATCGCTATAACAAGAATCAGCAAATGCGGACACTTCTTTTTCAGCACATTTTCCCAGTGGAGATGCAACACTTGTGAACCAAGCAGAGGAGACCCTGCTTGCTTTTATGTCGTCTGAACTCATCATTGCTGCAGTGTATAGGGGCGAAACAATTTTCACGTTTGAAGGTATGCGGGATTCAAACAGGGTAATTAGTGACCATTTTTCTCCTGAAAACACGCGGAAAAAAAAAATAAATGAACGAAGCCAGTGACAATGAGACAGTTTTTGTTCCTCGTCGCAAAAAAAAAAGGAAAATGATCGAGCCAAATTCACTGGGTCAGTGTCACGTACACGCCTGGAAAAGTGAAGGAAAGTTCCTGGTTTCATGAGAAAAAATGAAAGAGAAAAAATATATTTTTGTACTTGGGGACACACGCTGACGTGACTCGAATTTCGGCGGAAGACTGTTGGTAATTTTCAAAGGCACAGCAGAGAAGACAAGTCATTTTTAACCTTGATTTTGCTGCGTCCTTTTTGAGGTGAAGGTCAGTGTATCATCTGATGCATCCATTTCTTTCAAACTGCTTCAACACACTTTTGTTCCCACTTTTTCCACCGCGAAATTTTTTGAAACAAAAAAAAAGGTTTATTCATATCCATTGCTGATATTCTTTGGGAAATATTGGAAAAATAAGACTACAGTATAGAAAGCACTTACAATATCTTGTCTGTGTTTTAGTCGGTTGGAAAAATAACCTTCTTGGCCTTGAGGCTTAATTTATCTTTTTCCTTGCTGGTTGACTCTCTCTACAACGATTTTCTCGGTACAACGAATTTTTTCTGGTCCCTTGAATTCGTTGTAGACGGAGTCCACCTGTACGTATTTACGTCCCACTTTTTGCTTCTTAGTCATTATCTCATCTAAATACCATAAAGTGGAACAATTTTAATTTTCCTCCAAGCAATTAAAAATAAATTATTTGTCAAAGATGTTTTTTTGAATGTAAATGTAACGAAACATTTTATTTTTTTAATTTCGTTTTAGCTGTGACAATTAAGCGTTTAAGTGTCAAAGGCCTGTAAATAATGTTGTTTGTGTGCGTGTGCAAAGAAATATCTGAATTTGAAGGAAATTTCAAATGTTTTGAATGCGAAAAAGACGCAAATAGGTGAGAATCAACGAAAAAGTAGACCTAGAAAAATAAAACAATTTCGCAGACAAGTGTCGGAGTTATTTTCTCTCATGTTTGACATGATGAGGTCACTGGCGCTGACATTTGACCTTGTCATAGCACCAGTGCATGCTGTCTCTTATTTGCGCATGCCAATAGGCAATATATCTTCACAAGGAACTTCAATTTTTTTTTCTAGCCACAACTTTGACCATGAATCATTGGATCAAGTACAGTGTATCCAATAGGAAAATATCTAAAATAAAAAAACGTACATGCCAAACACTTGAAATGCATTTGTTTTGTGTTCAAAAATTCGCAGTCACTAAAGTAAAATGTCCTCATCATTCTCCACATTTTAGCACTGTCAATAACCACCGATTCATCAACTCAAATGCCACCCAAGTTTACTAGGGCTACCCTCAAGAACTCTGTTGGGTTGGTCATCGCCCCTCAAAACTCAGCACCAGGGAAAGGACTGGACACTGTCTGGATATATGCATCAGACCCAGACAATCAGTTCTACAAAGGGCACTTCTAAAGTTCACCCTTTGGAAAAAGTTTAAAATGTATTCTTCGATATGGCTGCTGGAATAAGGAACCTAAGATGAAAATGTGTGTCGAGACCAGCAGAGGGTGGTCTTTCAATAAGCAATTCAAGGTTTCACACCGCTTTGTTAATTGGAAAGTGTTCCGCAGTTTATTTACTCTCATTAAAATTAATTTCGTTGTAAAAACTAATTTTTATTATTTACGTGCGATAAATACAAGGTTGGTTTTTAATCGTTTTTTTTTATTTGCATTATGACAGTGGTTTTTTGGAGACTCAAATGGGTTCGTTTTAACAAGAGCCCCTACATGGTTCCAAATTACATTTACGTTTATAACTTTCTCATGTTTTACCAATTTCAAAAAGCTAACAGTTTTACCTGAACCTTGAATATGATTAACCTCAAAAATGCTTTAAGATGTGGGTCAAGAAGCACTTACACTCCGAAAAACGCTGTAATTAATTTAAACTAAAAATAAAAATTCCAATTTATATGGGAAATTTTTTTATTGAAGGACTCCAAGGATAAAAGGGGAGTAATTTCCTAATTATGATATTAACGAAAAACGGACAGATTGAAAACGAAGTAAATGAGAGCAATTGAGAACAGGAGCTCATAAAATTGTGAAGACATTGAAGAAGTTAATTCTTTAACCAGTACAGTTTATAGGAAATGATTCTGTGACATTAATATTGCAATTTTATGAATTCATGGCAAGGAAGAAAGTTTAATTTTTACTTTTATAATAATTTTTAGTAAAAATTGAGTTTTACGAGGATCGTATAGTAGAGCACATCATGCCCATGATATACTCGTGTATGTAATTTACATTTTACGATCCTGAAAATGAAAGTTCCGTGCTTCGAAAAATGCATATTAAAATTTTTATGGAATTACTCACGTGGTACAAATTTCTGCTCATCTGCTGTGACTTCAGGATTTAACAAAAAAAAGTTTGCCAATTTGCGTTCCAAGCAACATTTTCAAAAATGTCATGTATTTTCAGTTGAAACCCTCGAAGGCAGTACAAATTGAATCCACTGAAATTGCTACATTTAGAAACCTCTTCTGCTTCAAGCCTATTTATTAAATACAAATTTTCAATTCATTTTTCAAATTTTATAATCTCTTTCCGGATTAATATACTGTATATACAGAATAAGTATATTTTTCGAGTCCACCACGGGCAAGNTCACGTATACGCCTGGAAAAGTGAAGAAAAGTTCCTGGTTTCATGAGAAAAATGAAAGAGAAAAAAATTAATGTTTGTACTTGGGGACACACGCTGACGTGACTCGAATTTCGGCGGAAGACTGTTGGTAATTTTCAAAGGCACAGCAGAGAAGACAAGTCATTTTTAACCTTGATTTTGCTGCGTCCTTTTTGAGGTGAAGGTCAGTGTATCATCTGATGCATCCATTTCTTTCAAACTGCTTCAACACACTTTTGTTCCCACTTTTTCCACCGCGAAATTTTTTGAAACAAAAAAAAAGGTTTATTCATATCCATTGCTGATATTCTTTGGGAAATATTGGAAAAATAAGACTACAGTATAGAAAGCACTTACAATATCTTGTCTGTGTTTTAGTCGGTTGGAAAAATAACCTTCTTGGCCTTGAGGCTTAATTTATCTTTTTCCTTGCTGGTTGACTCTCTCTACAACGATTTTCTCGGTACAACGAATTTTTTCTGGTCCCTTGAATTCGTTGTAGACGGAGTCCACCTGTACGTATTTACGTCCCACTTTTTGCTTCTTAGTCATTATCTCATCTAAATACCATAAAGTGGAACAATTTTAATTTTCCTCCAAGCAATTAAAAATAAATTATTTGTCAAAGATGTTTTTTTGAATGTAAATGTAACGAAACATTTTATTTTTTTAATTTCGTTTTAGCTGTGACAATTAAGCGTTTAAGTGTCAAAGGCCTGTAAATAATGTTGTTTGTGTGCGTGTGCAAAGAAATATCTGAATTTGAAGGAAATTTCAAATGTTTTGAATGCGAAAAAGACGCAAATAGGTGAGAATCAACGAAAAAGTAGACCTAGAAAAATAAAACAATTTCGCAGACAAGTGTCGGAGTTATTTTCTCTCATGTTTGACATGATGAGGTCACTGGCGCTGACATTTGACCTTGTCAATAATCCTATATAGCACCAGTGCATGCTGTCTCTTATTTGCGCATGCCAATATCTTCACAAGGAACTTCAATTTTTTTTTTAGCCACAACTTTGACCATGAATCATGGGATTAAGTATATCCAATAGGAAAATATCTAAAATAAAAAAACGTACATGCCCAGCACTTGAAATGAATTTGTTTTGTGTTCAAAAATTCGCAGCCACTAAAGTAAAATGTCCTCATCATTCTCCACATTTTAGCACTGTCAATAACCACCGATTCCTCAACTCAAATGCCACCCAAGTTTACTACAGGGCTACCCTCAAGCACTCTGTTGGGTTGGTCATCGCCCCTCAAAACTCAGCACCAGGGAAAGGACTGGACACTGTCTGGATATATGCATCAGACCCAGACAATCAGTTCTACAAAGGGCACTTCTAAAGTTCACCCTTTGGAAAAAGTTTAAAATGTATTCTTCGATATGGCTGCTGGAATAAGGAACCTGTGAGATGAAAATGTGTGTCGAGACCAGCAGAGGGTGGTCTTTCGATGAGCAATTCAAGGTTTCACACCGCTTTGTTAATTGGAAAGTGTTCCGCAGTTTATTTACTCTCATTAAAATTAATTTCGTCGTAAAAACTTATTTTTTTTTATTTGCGTGCAATGAAAACAAGGTTGGTTTTTAATCGTTTTTTTTTTATTTGCATTATGACAGTGGTTTTTTGGAGACTCCAAATGGGTTCGTTTTAACAAGAGCCCCTACATGGTTCCAAATTACATTTGCGTTTATAACTTTCTCATGTTTTACCAATTTCAAAAAGCTAACAGTTTTACCTGAACCTTGAATATAATTAACCTCAAAAATGCTTTAAGATGTGGGTCAAGAAGCACTTACACTCCGAAAAACGCTGTAATTAATTTAAACTAAAAATAAAAATTCCAATTTATATGGGAAATTTTTTTATTGAAGGACTCCAAGGATAAAAGGGGAGTAATTTCCTAATTATGGTATTAACGAAAAACGGACAGATTGAAGACGAAGTAAATAAGAGCAATTGAGAACAGGAGCTCATATAATTGTCAAGACATTGAATAAGTTAATTCTTCAACCAGTACAGTATATAGGAAATGATTCTGTGACATTAATATTGCAATTTTATGAATTCATGGCAAGGAAGAAAGTTTAATTTTGACTTTTATAATAATTTTTTGTAAAAATTGGGTTTTGCGAGGATCGTAGTGGAGCAAATCATGCCTATGACATACTCGTAGGTGTGATATACATTTTACGATCCTAAAAATGAAAGTTCCGTGCTTCGAAAAATGCATATTAAAATTTTTATGGAATTACTGACGTGGTACAAATTTCTGCTCATCTGCTATGACTTCAGGATTTAACAAAAAAGTTTGCCAATTTGCGTTCCAAGAAAAATTCTCAAAAATGTCATGTATTTTCAGTTGAAACCCTCGACGCTGATTCTATTGAAGGCAGTACAGTATACAAATTGAATCCACTGAAATTGCTATGATGTATTTGGAAACCTCTTCTGCTTCAAGCATATTTATTAAATACAAATTTTCAATTCATTTTTCAAATTTTATAATCTCTTTCCGGATTAATATACTGTATATACAGAATAAGTATATTTTTCGAGTCCACCACGGGCAAGTTAAAAAAAAAACAGACAACCTATTGCCGCTATAGACTCAAAGCAAGCACAGGTATATACAAACTTATATTTTTCCCCCAGAAAGAAAAAGTTCAGGAAACGGGACCTTTCAAATTACAACAGGAGCTGCTTGTAATGTAAGTCAAGGCATGCAAAAAATAAAAAAAATAGTCAACAAAAATCCAAACATCCAAAAGAAGCGGTTCCTGCTGCTGCTACGTGGGGTCTCAATGGATCATTTGAGAGCTAGTACAATAAGACAAGCAGCTGTTGAAGAGAAGAAGGAACTTTGCCCATGTCCGGGAGGAAATGAACATGATTGATGGTAGGAAGGGAAAAAACCTTTTTGATGGATGTGACCCTCTTCTTTTCTGTTAACATAGTCATCACTGCTGGGAGAACAATCCTTGTCTCCCTCGCAATAATCTAAAGAATTTCCTGCCAGGCTTCAGCCCTGCTGTGCATGTGCGGATACATCAGGTTACCTGCATCATTGGAAACATTCCCACCAATGACCAATACCTTCGATTCTGTGTGGGGTTTCTTCTACGCAGATATTCTTGGGGGCAAAACATATTTTAGTGAACATTTTGAGGACTTATTTCGAATTTTTTTGCCAGATGAAATTAAAAAATGTCCCATTTAAGGCTATTCTAAAATTGTCACATCTGCGAGAAGTTTTTGAATCAGCAGGGAGGTTTGACTCATACCCATAATTACAGGTATGAAAGGAATGAAAGGCATAAATACAGGCTGTTAACAGAGTGCGTGTATATATTTTCGCTCCATTTTAGACGCACTCTTTTGCTTCGAAATGTATTCCAGTCTTCATGGATTCCCGTTGGTTCCTTGCTTAAACCAAAGCCCAGATTTGGCGTCCATGATAATCCCAATAAATGTCGTTGTTAGGATGTCATGGTCTCAGCTGCATGATCGAACTGATGTTGTTGGCGACTGCTTGTAGGTATTCTTGAATGTTTGGGCTGCTGTTCGTCCCTGCTCTGCCCATGATTGTCATAAATTCACGCTAGCAGAATTGAAATGAAAACTCGATTCAGGATGCTGATGTCTTTCAATTTTTTGTACTGCGGGAATACTTGCCATTTGATTGACGAAATTATTGAGTATATTCTGCAAGTTGAGGATATCCTGTGACTCAGCAGTAGCGGCCAACACGATCAAAATGCCCAAGACAATCGGGGTCTGTAAGGAATAAAATGGGACGATCAATTCCCATGATACCGATATCACTGAAAATTAACGTATATTATTCTCGTACCTTCACTCAAAAAATCGTACGTTCGGATTATCTCAGAGAGCTAATGCTAAAGGGGTGCTGTTGAAGCATAAAATTCAAACAGCAAAAGAACAGAGGAATATGTTTTTATATTTTTGCAGATTATGCAACAAATGAATCCATGAAATGGAAATAGGATCTTCGTATTATTGCTGGGGACAATCCCGCAGCTTCAAAAGCCCAACAAGGTTACAAAAATCCATTAAAGTACGAAAATCTGTGGAAAAGTACACAATTTATATTCAGAGCCAATAAATCAGAGATTAAAGCAGCGAATGAAGACTACATTGTTCTCAGATGTTTGAAGAAGGCAATATTGAACTTTCAAAATGGTTTTTTTTAAACCCCAAAAAAAAAACACTCACGATTTGATAATTTCAAGATTATTTTTTCGCATGGGGTTTTGGTATCTGTATTTTCATTTATACATTTTTCATATGATTCAGAATTTGTCTACACACGGTCATCGCCTTTTTTTCAAGTTCCCGAAATAGGTTTTTTCTCATGCGTAAATTCACCGTGCGGGATTTTTGCAAACCGCGAGATTTTTTCCATTGAGCCTGCTGACACACTTTTTAAAATTCAAGGAGTTCTAGAGTAGAATTTATGCCAGAAAATGTAGTAAATAATAAACTTACGAAAAAATGTTGGCCCATTTCGTATGCTCTGGAAAACAATGAAATTCTGCAACAGATATGGAGCTGAAAATTTGCGAACTCCGCGTCTCAGTCTATCTACAAGCACTATGAGATTCGCTTCGAAAAGGAATGGAATTTATAGTTGGAAGGGTAGTTTAAATTTGGAAACGGACACACACACAGACACAAAACATCAAAAAATTGGAAAAGTGGGATTCAAAATGTTTACGAATAAAATTATCACGCTCTCCAGAACTTGGGAACGCGTACGTGCTGCTGTATAGCATCACAAATTTTAATTCGATAATTTTATGCGTCAAGAAATCCAATTTAAAATGCCATTGGAGTACCGGTATTTTAAAACTCGTTCCTTCTTAAGAGGAGAATTCCTTCATTTGAGTATAGCATTTATCAACTCAAACTGAAAAATAAAATGTATGAGGAAGTTCAGTATATTTTTGGGGAAAGAGAAGTTTCAAGTTGGCCATCTCCCTGTTGATATACGTAAGGTACCCAAATACGTTCCCAACTTGGAAAACCTGACATATATACATCAAACAGATCCTCTTTTTGAGTTTGATCAAAGAGACATCACGTTTGTTTAAAAATTCAAGCAAAAATCGAAGCACAAGTTCAACCACTGATTGAAGAAATAATTCAAATTCCGTTTCAAACGAAAACTTGATTCCCACATTCATGAATGATCTGCTTGCATTATTGTTAGTTTTGAAGAGTGAAGTAAACAAATTGAAATATATCTTGAGTTTTAATGTTTAAAAAACAAACCTAACTCATGATGTACCATTTTTTCTTCGTTGAAGTTGCCCAATTATTCTTGAAATTTTTTTCAATTTGAAAATTCAACCTTTTGCAGGTTTCTTTTTGCTGCGCCCCTGTTAGATTATTTAAACATATATACAGTAATTTGTCCAAAAAATGAAAATATTTAAATAATGTGTAAAGCAGTGTTCCTTAACCAGTGGTCCACACACTGGCGCTGGTGGCTGGTCTTCAGTAAGTTTTTTTTGCCAATTTGCAGAAAAATTTCTGCAGCATAATAAATGAAGTATGTTATCTTTATCTGAAATTTCAGGAAGAGAATGGAAGTTGAAATCATCTGATGAAAAAATAAAAGTTGGCTTTTCTCCTAATAACACTTCAGACAAATGTCTGCCTCCTGAAATGGAGTACCGTATTTACTCAAGTACCATGCGCACATTTTTTTCTCAAATTTCAGAATAAAAAACAGGGTGAGTGACATAAGCAGGTACAAATTTCCAAGAAGTTTTTAGGAAGTTATGTGTGCATTATACTTAATGATAATGGAGAAATTTGGAACAAATGTATCAAGAAAGCTTGTTTATACGGAAAAAGTTGAAAATTGATCGGGCTTTTATTCAATTCATGTCTGAAGTCAAATTTTTGTTGTTATTTTCAAAATGTTGTGGATTTATATTCACTAAAAATTGGGGTGCGCGTCTTAATTGGGGATAAGGTTTTAGCAAAATTTCCAACTGAAAAACCCCTGTGGGCGCCTTACTTGAGGGCGCATGGTACTTAAGTAAATACAGTATTTTAATTTTTTACATTCTGAGGAGCCTTTCTTCAAGCCAAGGGCTATTGCTGTCAGAATTTTTGTTTTTGCAATTTATGATGGCACAGGACATCATGACTTGACAAGAATTTTTCCCTGACAAACCCAGAGGGAAATACTACATACAAGCCAACAATCCCTTGTAATTCCATTTTATTTGATTCTCAATTTTTTTAAAGCAGAAACTTTTCAATTACCTGCCATGAAGCCTTTCAAGCAAAACTTTTATGGGTCTGCGCAAATTTCATGAAACTTTTCCAGTCCACATAAAAGCTTTGGGAAATTTGCCGGTCTACCATTTTTTTTTGGAAAGTTGTAAATCTGCAGACCCAAAGAGGTTGGATCAAAAAATGATCTGGTATATTCGATCATAATATTTGTATGCTTGAATACCTTCAGGCATCCCCAGCATTTCAATAAAATGCGAATGGTGAAGTAAATAAAAAACCACTGAGTGTTTATTCTGAGGAAAATATTATTTCGCTAACGGTAAAATGTAAAAATTATTCAAAAATGCACTTCATGTACATTTTGAAGGACTAAAAGCGTGGCGCAGCAATTCCTTCAGAAAATTTCGTATACATTGACTATTCGCAATAAGGATAAGGTTATCCTTATTACACACAACCAAAAATACTCGTCCACATTATACGTCAACATAATTTATATCGTACTCCAGGAATAACACGCATTTCAATGGCACCAATAACTAACAGAGACACGCACAGAAAACTCCCGCCACTGCAATAAATTTTGTCAATCGTGCGCAAACGTTTTCATGTGGTATATCACTTTTTGTTAATAGAAAAAATATCCGCCATAACGTGCGATTCCGCGTCTTGCTGCTTCAAACTTTTTTATTTCTTGTGTCTCAAGACTTTCTTCCTTTGTTTGTTGTTGCTACAATTGGATTTCCTTGTTCTTTCACATCCTCACAATATGTGAAACGTTAAAACGAATATACTCCAAGCTTTACTTTGTACCCGCAGAAACCTGCTACTGCATATAATCACTTCCGTCAGGCGACTTGTTCAGGTTTCTTATTGTTGCTCATGGTCAAATTGGAAGTTTGATGCTCTTGTTCTTCCATTGATCTGTGCAGCAAATCTTTGAGGATTTGAGTAAAACGCCAAAGTTCTTGGTACCGATTGTACATAGCACAAGGGGCGACACGAATCCGATCCGGGTATCTGAAATCCACCTGGAGAAATAATTTTTTGAAAATTTATTTTTCATATGCCTTCGACGCAAGTTTCCTCTTCCATATATTCATCAAGGTAAATAAAAACGCCTTAAAATTGAGAAGTTTCATTTATATTACCGTATACAAGTGTCATTCATGATAATCATGACTCACAACTATGCCGTTTTCTAGCAGGAGGTCAGACATCCGCTCTGTGATGACACCATCACAGAGCACAACGGAAAGTTGAGACCCTCTGCGACGCGGGTCTTCGGGCGTAGCTATGTGAATAACGTCCCTCTCGCTTTCCTCGACTGCCAATTTTTGAAAGTCATCGTTATTATTTCTGGGCAGGAATTGTTGCAGCAGACTCCGATTCGCAGCCTTCAGCAACATTTCCAAGTAACCCGTCAGCCAAAATTGCTTGCAAACAAAACGGCCCCAGTCTACTTGGTCGTAAACCTGCATCGTCGGAAAGTAATTAAGGCACATTTCTACAGAAATCTGCAAATTCGACGTTGAAGTAATTTCGGCCAAGTGGGGCTTGCTTGCAGAAACGTGTATAGTGCTTGGAATGCAAGTACAGTACTGTTATACATTTTCTGGAGCAAAAAGTTTCGAAATTAGTGGTGGGAACCTCGAGTGATTACTGTACCTTGTAAGTGCAAATAATGAACAGGGAAATTTGGCTCAAAATCAGTTAAAATGAGGCATCTTGTATTTATTTATTTATGGGATTCTTTGTTAAAAATTTTAATTTAAAGTAAGAGTCATATTTTCAACCATTTAAGACGGGTTTGTGTCTCGTTTTTAGGTAGTTACATTTTTGATGGGATTCCATGCCCAAATATCCAGGTGGAAGCCATAGCAGGGGACTCACGGTACTCTAGTAAATACAGTACTGTACTGTACTATTTATAGTACTGTACATTATATATAGTTACCTCTAGGGCTGCTATAACGGGAACTGTAGCCCAAGCAGATGGATTAGATATTCTGAAAGCATCTGCTCCCAAACTGGGTTGTATGGTGGGTCGCATGAAGAAACGCTCTTTGTCCTTAGTGCCCCACCATCCATCAAGACGCGGTCCATCATGGCCCCAGCGATTCTCATGCACGAAAACGCCGCCATGACATCCTTGACCCCCACACATGTACTATAAAAAAAAAATCATAGAAGAATGCGACGACATTTTCACAGGATTCTAACCAAGAAAAATAAATCTCATCATGAACTTTCAACCATTTATACTGTGTAGAGGTAAAAATGTCCCCATTCAAATACATGTCCCGCCCTTGATGGTAGGTTCTATAGAGTATTAATTGAAAAACCGGGAAAATATAGCTGAAAAAATTTATAAGCAGGGCTTCTGAATAAAGAAAAACAAGCTGCGTATTACCCAATTATTTCCCCATGATCATAAGAAAGGTTGCGTTTCTTCCAAGCTCTTCCAGATGTATGTTAAACTTTTAATTTCAAGCGAGCGAATTCCGAGGTAGCATCAAACATTTGAAATTTTCAAACAAAATTTTAATGAACACAGAATATACAAGAAATTATTGTATTATCTTTCAATTTATACCACACTTTACAATATTCTAGATGGAGTTCCAGCCAAAATTTTGTGGATTGTGGGCGAAAAAATCTCAGGCCCGATATATACTGTATATATACAGCATATATATATTTTTGTTTTTCCAGTTTTAATGTGCTTGGAATCAAACGGATTTTTCAGCTAATGAATACAGGTGGCCTCTTTCTGCTATAACAATAAAAAGATGCTGCTAAAGGAGTATAGCTAAATATAAAAATAAAAACCAAGTAAGGGTACGATCTCCCTAAAAGATGTTACTTTAAGAGGTTGCTTAAAAAGGTCAGGAAACTTAAAACAACGTCTCTCAGTCCACGTGGATTGAAGAAAGTTTTGAGATGTCTCAATGTTTTCATTCGACTGCAATCAAAATATTTGCAAACAAGTTACAGAGAGAACCAAAATGAAATCAATTTCATTTTTCAAATTTAACATTTCAGGAGGAAAAAAAAGTCAATTAAATTTCAATTTATCACCATCTGTACTCGTCTTGGAAGAGATTCCCTGCCATGTACGCGTATAGTACTGCACAGTACTGTATTGTAATTTGCTGCACGTACAATAAGAACGTCCGAATTAGGCGAAAATTCCCAGGTTTATTCAAGTCGACATAGATGTCGCTTCTTCGTCTATTTCGTGAATTTTTTCCATAGCATATAAGGTATGTGTGTATACTGCATTAAATTTTGCAAACCTTGTAAGTACACCAGCAGGCGAAGTCGACGTTCCAGTCATGCAGCATCAGAGGAGTGTTGCACACGGAGTGGGCCAGGTCCCAGCCAATGAGACAGCCGACGTCATGGGCCCACTGGGTGATGCGTGGGATGTCGAATCGCTGGCCAGACAAGTACTGGACACCCGGAAGCAGAACGACGGCGATTTCCGGTCCCTGTTCGGCCAGGACTCGCCGGATATCCGATTCCCGAATGCAGGGTTCGCCGGGTCTCCGCTTCAGCAACAACAGCCCATCGTCTTCCGATATTCCGTGCAATTCCAATTGCGATTTCACCACGTACTGCGTGGAAGCAAAAGAAAAAACATTAAAAGAAAAAATCTCGGAAGAAAACCCGTTTTCCTCGAATATCTGAACAATGGAAGTTTGATTAATTAAGCTTAGTTAATTACAAAGAAAATGGTCCAGAATTAAAATGCAAGCCTCTTGTAGATAAATTTCTTCCCATTTGCTGACAGTGAAGCTGCTGGGGCAAAATTTTCTCTCCAATAAACATTTTCAATTTAATCTAACGAAAAATATTCGAAAAAAATGTATCCGCAAGCTATCCGAAAGTATACCAACAGATGAATTGTTCGCAGAAAAGATGCAAAATTTCACTGCAGTAAAATGGCGCATTTCTCAGATACTGTATTTTTTATCTTTCCTCAGTTTTCAATAAGCTGCCCACGAAATAATTTTTTTTTAATTTTTCTGAAACATTACAAATCTTCTTCGGATAAATTTATTTTCATTTAAGAGGCCAATAAAGAAAGGACAAGGCCATACGCAAAAATAATATCATCTTCGTGCAAACTTTCCTGACGACAGCAAAATATGCGGTACGTGGCAGAAAATCCCCCATAGCTTTCATTAAAATCAGATTGATACTCTATAAGCAGGTTTTGAAGATACAGTACTCGTACATATGATGGAATAGTAAAAATCATGGGTTCACATCATTTATAGCCATATCGCGATGAGAAACTGTCTTTCTCAAATGTTTTGAGACAAGTTTTGAAGGATGCTTAGCGCTGTTCATTATAACATTTGGAAATTATTTTCGAATGGCGAAGCGGAATATTTTCGCAAGAAAAAAATTATTGTGACTGGAATGTTAACTTTCGATTCGCGTTGTTTTTATCATCTACTTAAGAAATCCTCTACTTCAGAATCTACTTTAGAACACAGGCAACAATTTCCGGTTATTTGATGCGATGAGATGAAAATATTAAATTCAAGTGGTATGCAAATGGAAGAGTTCCATCATCGACAACAAGACTTGGCCGAAAAATAATCCCCGCTTTTTTTTTCTGAAGCCCTATTTCAGTTATTCCTCTGATGGAGATTGTATCTCGCACTTATTATTCACATCCAGTTATGAAGAAGTGATTAATGGGGAAATTGTGAACGAAGTTCAGCGTTTTGTGAACCTTAAAACCTCGAGGAACGAAATATAAAACTGTGCTTCTATTTCTCTTTTGTATAGTGTGTTCTTTCGGATGAGCTGAACAATTACCATGTCCGAAGGAAAGGCGTGTTCTTCGATGAGGATTTTCCGGCGTTCAGCAGTTGGTTGATAAAAGTGGACCATCATCAAGTGCAAGTTTACACTCAGGCCATTCATTATTGTTGTTTCCCCGGCTTTGGCCCCGACTAGACGATCCATCATTGGCCTCGGGCAAAGGTCAATCAGTTTCCCGGCGAACCTGCCGTGAAATTGACTCAGCACACCCCTGATGAAAATGTGAGGGGAAAAAAATACTCTCTTTGTCATGAAAAAATTGATTGAAATTACACCGAGTCGAGATTTATGGGACCAGATTAAAACAGCATTAAAATTAACTGCTGGGTCCCAATTTTTTTTTGGGATGCTTGCGAGGAAACGAAGCGGCACCAAAACACCGAACTTGAAAGTATTTCATCGGGTCAACTAATTTGAGGATTATCACGAACATTCCCAAAAATTTCCGGACGAAGGTCCTCGTATTTATTAAAGAAATAAAAATACTCAAGATAAGTTACGCGGTTTATCAGAGCAGAATAATTAAGTCATTATCCCAGATAATCTGTGTAGAAGCGTGGTGAGGATATTCTCTCGTCTGAAAATTATGTTTTGAGCAATTGCCATTTATTGTCAGTTATATCCGAAGCCGAGCCATTTTATTCGCATTCTTGGAAATTTTGAAGTGTTCAAGTAAGGTTCAGCATAAGGAGTTCATTTTTGCGGAAGGATAACACTAAAAAACGCAATTTTTTCTGAATACTGTATGTAATTGAAATGAAAGAAAATCGTATAATGCGAAGGGATTTTTGAGGTAATTTACTTGCGGGAAGCGCGTGTTCATTTGGATAAATATCGTATGAAAATATTTCAAATTTTTGTGAATGTAACTGAATTTTTCAATCCACTAAATTTTTTTCTACTACCACATGCTTTGTCAAAATTTGGCGCAAGAAGTTAATTCAAGAAGTTAATGAATATGAATACCCCGGCATATGAAGTTCACAATTGAAAACTAAAATAATTTAAATCTACATAAAATTGTCAAAACAAGTTGCTCCATTGAATCTTATCTTGCCATTTTTTTCTTTCGCAGCCGTCTTTGTTTCAAGTCTGACGCACACTTTTTACGAGTCTCGTCGGGCGATTAATGGCACATAGCTTCATGGTAATTAATGCAGATAGTTTCAAAAAAAAAATTTGCAACTTACCAATCTCCCCAGTTTTCTAGAACTTCCGCAATGTAACCATCTGTCCGTTTCGGTTTGAGTCCAAGTGAATGAGAGCATAAGTAGATCGTATCCTTGCTGAATTTTTCTCTCTTGACCGGATCCTCCTCATTATCTGGTTTCCCGAAATCTATTACAGTATTAAAAACAAATATTCTTTGTAATGAGATTGTTCAATGCTTTCAGGCATGATGTAATTTTGTTTGCTTAATGGGAGGAAGTTCCTTATTTTCGAAGATTTTAAGTCTAAATCATGCGATGACAAATCAAAATAAGCTACGTCGAGCCTTTTGTCAAATTCCCGATTATAAATGCTAGTGCATCTAGAAATGGGCACGTGAATTTACTGAAAATGAATGCTGAAATTTACTAACCTGAATTTAACTGAAGTGATAACGCAGGATTTTTTCAAACTGAACATATGGTGTCAAAAATATTTGAGTAATTAAATGTCTCATATGAAGCTATCTAAAATTTAAAAGAAGCGTTCTTGATGGTGCAAATAATAATATACCGGAAGTATTTTTCATTGGCCGGTAATTATCAATATTCGGTGGCAATTATTTAACTGCGGCTTTGAAAAAGTAGTGAAAAACAATCGTAATTATCTCATGTGGGGAATACATTTAGAGAAGAAACAAAAATTTTTGCTTACTTTTCGGAAGCTTTCCTTTCCTGGGGATGACGAATTCGTGTCGGAAGTCGAAATTGTTAAAGGAATCAAGACGTTCAGCAAATTCTTCTGACAATGGATTCAGACCCCAATGTTCTGCCAACAGTTCCAGCAATTTCCAAGGCCTCCAAAACGGTTTGCCATTTTCCGATTCATTTCCGCAAATTTGTTTGCAGTTCGGATTACAGGAATGGATGGGATCAGGAAATTCCGGCGCGATCAGAGCAGACTCATTTTCTGAAGCTTTGTTCATGGCCTTGGCAAAAATATTGGTGATGCATAATCAAGCACACACTTTTTCTTTTACGAAAAATCCGAAAATGTTTGATGTTTTAAGCGGGAAGAAATATTTGCATCACACTGGATTTTTTTCTCACACGGGTACGTTCTTGCATGATACCTGACATTCGGGGAAAATGTCGAGTAACTCTGAAAAAAAAACTCGATTTTGTTTGCAGAAGTGCAAGAAAAATTCTAGCACATTCTGCAAACTTTATAGTGAATAACTCAACGAATTTTAGGAACCAATGACGAACTTAAATCAAAATGTTGAGGACAAACACTATCGTGATTAGCAAGATTAAGTACTTTCAAAATCTTCGAAAAAAAATTCGAGGAACGGAATTTATTGCCCACATTTTTTTTCGTATTTGAACGAGAGATTTTAGTTCAATTTGTTTCAATCGACTCTCTCATCGAAATGCTGGGTTGTAAAAGGACTCAAAGTTAATGTTCAATGTTTCAATTTCAATTTTGTTCTTTGAAAAATACAGATTCATCATTCGTAATTATGTTTTTTCGAGCTGTACCTTCATTCCAAGCTTTTGCAAAAAATCGTTCCATTACAGAGTTTAAAATAAGACTTGTGCTGAGGCAAACCTGCCGCAAATGGATATTTCTCGTTTTTACACCATTCTTTGAAATTTACCGCAAACCGCAGAAAATCGGAAAATTATTATATGCCCATAAAATCTCCGAATTTGTCTGTTCTTGAATTTTAAAATACACGCAGTATTTAATCCTTGCAAAACGTGATCATGCGACAAGGAATCGCAAGAAACTTACAAACATTTTTAATTTGACGCTTCAGACTTATTTGCTCCGAGCAAAACTTAAATTTGCATGAAATGGGCGGAATATCGCACTTCTTGAGTTTTTCAGGCAAATATTTTGATATAATTGTGTCCTCAAGGTAAGACGCGCACATTTCAGTAACTCTGAAACTGATTAATTCCAGAAATATCAGAACACCCAAATTTAAATTTTGACATCATTTGAACCCGTATTAAGCTAAATTTTAATGATTCCCATTTCAATAAGTTTTCCTTAGAAATTCGGTATAAAATTCACCGTTCGAATCAAATACAATGTGCACCTAAAAACTTTTGAAACTTTTATACCCAGGAACTTATGACACGCACCCCGTTTGATTTTTATAAATGTCCGTGTGTGGTACTTTATAGTAAATACGGTATTTTCAATAGAAAACTCAATTCCGAAAATGAATCAAATTCTAAAGGTAAAAAAGTATAAGGCACAGCAAGACGAGGTAATATTTGCACATGGGAGAGACTCTCGGATTCAACTTACGCATAAGTCATCCTCGTTGAAGTCAAACACTGAGCACAGAGCCGGAAACGAAGGTTCATTCTGCATGCTGAAAGTCCGGTCCCTGCCACTCGTTTTTCGCACGATTTCCCCGTCGACCGACACCCAAAAATCACACTTTCTTTCGTCGTCAACGAAGGTAACTAGCTGAGCGTCAGCGTCGAGCCGGCTCGGCAGCAGCAGCGACAGTGAGGACGAGGTCGACATCCTCGCGGAAAACCTTTTTGTTTTTTTGCACGACTTTTGGCACTGCTCCAAACACTGTAGCAAGCACGAGATAAACCGGTGAAGACGTAGAGGGAAGTGTCTTATATAAGAGGGAGGAAATGGGCAGAAACAATAACAACCCTCGGCTCTTATCTCCCAAAATACCTCTTTTTTTTTCGGTCTCGTTTTGGGGGACGAGGACGGAATGTGCCTTTTTTTCTGCGAATTTACCCGCGAGAGGATTCTCCGAAATTTTTTAAACAAAAAGCAAAAAAAATAAATTTCAAAAGAAACAGACTGAAAGAGTTTAAAAAAATAAAGATTTCCAAGAACAGCATGAAGATCGAAAGACACGCATGAAAGACTCACGAATGTAAGATTCTTAAGAAAATGAAAAGGCCTTCGAACTCGGGTTTGAAAGCTTTCTTCCCTTCATCTGGTGCAGTTTTAATAACGGAAATCCTCAGTTAAACATCATGAATCACAAAAGGAAGAAACTGAATATGCACAATGCACTTAATAAATCCTATTATTTTCAAACACGGAATTTATTGAATTATTTCGATATCGGCCTTGAAATTTTTACCAAGAACTTACCATGATTCGGTGTTTTACTCATACGACAACAGAATTCTAAAAACATTTTTACAAATTACAGACCCATCTTCAACGAATCGATCCTAATAAAATATGCAGCAAAAATTCACACACACACACACACATCAGTACTATACATTTCTTCGTTCGAAAACATTTTCTCACCACAAAAAGTGATCATTTACTGTAATCGAAAATATATTCCCCGAGAAAATAAACGACAAAAATGCAAAGATTCATGCACCGAAGACGAAAAAGATCACAGGATTTTAATTTTTGGATCGCGAAGGAGGATTCGTGCTACAATAAAATAGAAAATCGTCAAAAAGTTTCTTTTCAACATAAATTACATCCTCGAATACGAATGCAGGGATTTATTTCCTCCTGCAGCGGTTTCATGCAAAATATTGTTATCTGCACATTAAATACAAGGCTTTTAGAATTATAAATATCTGAATCATGAGCGAATTATCAGATCTCAGAATATGGCAAATACAGTACAGCAACTTTTAAAATGCATGCATCGTTCTAAAAATTAAATTTTCTTCAGACACTTGGCGAATCATGCGAGGATTCATACGAGTGAATCAAAAACATACAATAATAATCAGGCTATATTTCTAAAAATAAACACTTTTTCGATATCCGATGAGGAAAGTGTTTGACTAAAATCTACGAACAATTGAAGTCATCTTTGAAGTTGTCCCTGAACTCTTTCGAAAACACAAACAGGATTCAAGTAAACACAAACAATATCTTTTACCTCAAATTTGAAAAATACTTTCGCATCAGAGATATTATATTCCTCACGCAATTTTCAGAAACCGCCAAAATTCCGAGAGCTTCTGCGAATCGTCGCCTCAGAGGGGACAACTTTTATACTCTCACCCTTTCATGTACTACTTAGAATCCCTCGAGGTCCGGAAATACACATTACTTGGGTCAGAATCTTCATGCTAATCATTTGTTTTGCTCAGTTTTATCCTCGTCTTTTTCTTATTATTGCCAAGTCGTGTCATGCCATATCGTCCCATCACCAATGGGTTGTTGTGCTGGTTTGACGACACACCTCCGAAGACGACACCCGACCAATGAGGGTTCGGGGGTCACTCGTGTGATGCAATTTCCTCCGTTTAAGGAGATCGGAATCTATAAGGAAAACTGGTAATTATCAAGTACCGGAATATTTTGCGCTGCCGTAAAAACAAAGTTGAGTGCATTCACGCGCCACTGTAAAGCTGGAAATATATGGTGTCGGTTTTTTTTTATGCTGTTGCTGACTGACGACCATCACCGCGGATACTTGCATACAGTAAGTTTAATACTAGTTTACTGGTGACCAGCAGCAAGGTTTTTCATCTTGGTGCAACGACTTCAAAACTGGGATGCATACTATACGAGGGTTGTCCCATTTCTGATTGACCTTGGGTATTTCTGGACCAGGTACCACTTTGAAAAAAAAATGTACCATTTAGCTCATCCAATTTCAAGGTTCTGGGATTTTTTTGTTGAAAGTTTTTAGATTTACTGCAAAACAATAAGTGAAAACTTTCCAGTTTTGGCAAGTATTTTCCATACATGTCACAAGCTTTTAAAATTTTCGATTGTAGACAAAAAAAATTGAGAATATTTTCTTGCTTTAAAAAAATATTTCCTACATTTTCTGTCATTTTCAAAAATTTTAAATGATTATTTTTTTTGTCACAAATGAAAGTCCAAGTCCATGTTGCATTTTTCCAAGAGCAGTTTTCATTTCCAATTTTTTCTTTTCTCTTCAAAAAATCATTCAAAGCCTGGTTCCTGCTTGAAATATGTTTCTTATAACCTTGAGATTTTAGGAGACTTCTATTTTTTATTTTTTTTTCTGCCTTAAGGTCTGAAGGCAGGATAAGGGTAGACTAGTCTGAGCAGTGTTCAATTGATGAGTAAAAAATGCCTAGAATATCACATGGAAATATCACTCAATGAAGTTGTATGAATTGCATAAAACTTCGTACAGTAGTTTTAAAAAAATCGTTAGTGATGTTTCAAACATGTCTGCTATAATTTGCAAAACATTATAAGAATTTTTTACACAAGCCTTTAAGAATTTTTCCAACGTTTTACAAGACAAAAATATTCTGCTGTCGGGGACAGAAATCAGTCCTCTTGCAAATGCATCCTGAATGGGTTAGCATGACATTTTTATTTTATTTTATTTTTTAATGTTCAACCGGCGAACACTGACAAATTTTATGAGCATTTTCCATTCCCAAGAAAATTTTTAATATGAGCGTTACTTGAATGTTTTCATCGTCCTGTTTGTTCTCATATAAACCATTTAGGATGATACACGGTATACGGTACATCAGCTAATAAATTATCGGTGAACTATTTTTCATCCATCATGCAAGAAATGTCACCTGGCGAAATTGATGAGTCATGAAGCAGCTGAAAATAAATGCCAATGCGAGTGTTTTTATTTTGAACTTAATTATTTTAAATGCTGTGGAACTTAATTAAAAAAACTTAATTCACAGTAACGCGTGCGTCGGGTCTCAAAAATATTTTGAAGTCGAATTCTCACAGAAACGTGCATTGGAGAAAATAAAAATGCAAGTAATAATCATAAATATTGACAAATAGAGAAAAGAAGAGAATACTGTAATGAAATCTACGGAATCAGACCTGTAAACAGCTCTGAATTTCATAGAACATGAAAAGAAAGTCTGCGAATTTTCGTCATCTAACACAGCTCTCAATTGAATACAGTAGTTCTCAAAGTAGAGAACTACATTAAAACGCGACTGGGAAGCTATTCATATTCAAAGTTTTAAATACTGTCCGTTCGAGGTCCAAAGTCAATGATACGTATACGTATGAGGATACTATATTTTGCGATTACCGCTGCAATGATTCCTCGCGACTCAGATTTGTTATTCAAGCCCCATAAACAACAACAAAAATATTGTCTTGATATCATGTTTTCCCACCGAATTTTGAATTCTCAAGATTCGTCGTTTCACGGTTTCATACACCAAATGCGATGGTCAGGGTTATGGTGCAGGGCTCGTGAGTCGATGACCGTCACAATAAAGTCGGAGATAAAAATACAGTACATCCGGAAAGAGTCGAGCCTCCAACAGCTCAAAGGAAGGGGGATGATGCTTGTTTTTTTATTCCCCAGAAGGAATCCAAATACGTCATCGCATCTGGTAATGAAATGATTTCTCGTGCCCCAGTTCTGGGTTTTCCTGGGTTGGGTTCGAATTTTCCCGCAACGCAGAGACAATGTGTGCTACTGTGCATATGCAACTCAGTACCCAAATTTATTGCACACGTGCACAGGTGTCAAATGATTGATGATTTCCCCCCTTTTTTCCATTTGAAACCAACAAAAGATTCTTATTTCTGTACATTGAATTACACATTTTCAACAGCAGAGAAAAATATTTGACACAATGGATACGCTGATTTTGACCACCAAGAATATCTTTCAGGTCAGATACGCCAAAATTATGCAACTGGGTTAGGTCAGAAACCCAGTAAAATTTCCCAACTCTATTGTAAGCCTTGAAGAAGCAAGATATATAAATAAGACACACTTCAAAAAATCCAGATTGATCCATCTCATGCTGCTGGCAAAAAATTGAAAAAGTTGTCCAAAAATAATCACAAAATGGTCATTTTTTTAGCAATTCCAGGATGCACGAGTCACTGACTGAAGGTTAAAAGCAAGGTTTGTGTGACACGCCAATTTTACGTTTCTGGGAAAAACCGTGAATTCGGTCATATATTGTAAGTTCCTGGAAGGTCAGGACACCAAAAAGTGGGTACTTGTATTCGCCATTATTGGAATTTTAATTTTTTGCATGAAAAATATATGGGTGTTCTAATATTCGTGTAAATACGGAGACGGCAACTCATGTGTCTATCGCCACAATTTAGTTTTTACGTCAGTGAAGTTCAAACTTCACTGACAGTCTGTTGGATCAAGAAGCTTCGAGATTACTCAGAATTAAGCCGAAAACTTGTTAACCAACTTCAATCAATCCGTTCCAATCAGTGCAAGAACTTAAAATTCTTCAACGAAAAACCTCATACATGCTTTACAAAAAAATCTGCGCTCACAAACGAGATCAAAAATCCCCCTGGGTGAGAAAGCAGGATATCTTCCTCCAACTACAAAAATTAAAATACAACTTAAGCAAAAAGAAACGAAAAAGATGAATCTTCCAGGATTCAAAATAAACGTCCATCTCTTTTAATTCCTTCCAATGATTTTCCCCGTCAACAGTAAACATAATTGATGATCAATGGCAAGTGCCGCATATCGTTCGGTGCAATCCACAAGGGGCTGAAAAATACCGTCCCATCAAAGATTCAGATTTCCCAATTTCTAGAAAAAAAATAGTGCACACAAAAGTACAACCAATTTGACAATACGGCAAGAAAACAAGGATTGCCTCAGATACACAAAAGAAGGGCAACGAAAAAAAAAAGTTCAGGAATCACAAATAAGAGCGACTGCTATTTTCGAGATTAAAGTAAAAATTTAAACGGTTCAGAAGACGCCATCCTTTAAGGAATCGGCAGAGAAAAATCCTGATGCTCGCTCACTCAAGAGTCAAGACACGCACGACTGATCCACGTGAAACATGAATTTATCATGGGCAAAATAAATCAAAGCATAAAAATCCACAAGAACACCATGTTCAAAAACCGCTCAAGTTCCACAACAGGCATGAAACAAAAAAAAATCTGGTAACTTTCAAAATTATCATCATGCTCGACAGCGGCGTTGCGAGAAATAATTCGGAATGTTTTTCCACTTCAGAAAAAATTTGTGCCAATTTTCCGAACAAAAACTTTTGGCTCCCAGTTTCCACGCAAAATATCATCCACAAATATCCACCAATTGTCAACAAGATTCCCGAGAAGGAACTCCTCATTTTTGGCTCGCGATCAAAAATAGGCGAAGTGGGAGGAAAAAGAAAGATAAAAACTGTCAACGCCATCGTCTTTTTCAGATGCGACGAATCCCGAGAGATGCGATTGTGGTTGACAAAAGGCAAGTTGATCCGTTTCCAGCTGCCGCTTAGTTACTCATCACCGACTTCACTCGGTTGATGCTTATAAAATTCCGCCAACACAGCCCAAGCATTTGGGTCCATGAATCCGTCTGGTGGCAATTCACCAGCTCTTGCAATACCTTGAACATGTTCAAACATTGTTTAGAAATACGAAATTGATTCAGAAATCGAATCAAAAGCAAGATACAGTATTTTTAAAATCATCAACAAAATTAAAATACAGTACAGTACAGTTGAACCTTGATAACTCTAACTTCCATCTGCTCAATTTTTTTCAAGAACCCTGTCTGAATTCTTGTATAGAAAAAGGAATGAAAAACCCACTTAACTTCAAGGCTTTCCCTCTCAAACCTCGAAGTTTCTAAAGGCGTTTTGGCTGTTATCTTATTGACACAGAGAAGAGAAGAACAATGAAAAATTAACTGGATACTTTTTGAAAGGAAGTGAAAGAGTTTGGTATTTGAGCAAAAGAACCCTTGTGTCAAAGTTCAGCATCCTGTCAACTCATTCAAGAAGCAATCAATTTAAGGCCCAGAACATCACCAATTAAGATTTCCTTCAGTGCTTCTTTCTTTACCCCAACAAAACCGCTCAGTTTCTCAAACTCGATTTTTGTTATGGTCCCTTGAAGTTCGACTGTAATATAAGAACTGAACACAAAAGCAGCATCAAGAAAATAGGAACATTCCGATAAAAATTCGCACGATTCCATGCCACTACTACACACGAAGGCATTTCGAAAGAAAATCTTACATTCCAAAAATCTCAAACGAAAGAATGAAATAAAAACCTTGAGCTGGAGACGAATAAAAAAATAAAACTCACTGCGCATCCGCGTGCCGGAGATGAAGTCAAAATCCCCGGGTCTCGTCGGGTCAAAGAAGTCCATCTTGTGGCTCCTCTTGTCATAGGCCGCGACACGAAACGGAATGATCTCCAACTGCGTCAATCCCGGGGCCATCGTCAGCACCTTTGCTCCATGGGTGGGCTCATAAAGATCCCTCGCTGGGGGATCCGGGTGCGCCATTCCCGCTGGATCCCGTCCCACAATGTAAAATGTGGCTCCGGTTGCCATTCTCGCCTTGGCGTGCCATTGCACTTCCGTCGGGCCAGCGTACATCATCGGCGACGGAAAAATCGCTGCAATTAAATAATTAAAATTGTTCATTCTTTTGTGAAATTCTTCACTCAAGTCTCCGTTTATGCTCAGATGTTACAGGCAGTTTTTCCGAAAAAAATTACCAAAAAAAACAAAAAAAAATTCAGGGTACAATGGATCTCAAATTTGCAAGAAATTATCTACAGCATATTGTATTCGAACAAATCGATTATCTGAGGAAACACATTTTCAAAATGAACTGAACAAACATTTACAACCACTTTCCATTCATCGTCACAAGTGTTTCAATCCTGATAGCTGAAGTGTAAATAGCGTCAACAAATCACAGGGGGATAATGATGAACGAGCATTCTAAATTCATAAACTTTTCAAATATTTGCGATAGAATGATGAAATTGCGTACTATGAAATACACCCCATTATTTGAAGGAAAGTTTCACACATCAAGACCTAATGCAAAAAACAGAAAATTTCCCCGTGAATTGATCATACATGCAATTAAGTAGTTAATTGTACCCCGATCAAGTGCCTCAGAGTAGGTGTCACCAGATGAGATTAACTTTCTGTGTCATGCCCGTTTTAATTATTGCTTCCGAGTTCCTCATGGGCATCAATTAGAGCTGAAATCGCGGTTTTTAATTCCTCGCATGGCTATAATGGACACTCTGGCAATAATCAATACAAAAAATTCAATTTTCCCACTAGTCTAAAAATTCTACACGCTCAAACAAATAGATGTCGCATACCATCAAAAAAAGTTGTCTTTTCTTCTTCAATTAAACTCACCCAACAACGTCGTCTCCGGGTTCAACACGCCAGAGTCCAACACGGCCTGATGCTGACGCATTCTCACCGGCAGTGGCACGTCGTCATCCTTGGTCCAGCCACCAAGAGGATGCAACAGAAGCACGGGTTTCTTGAAACCCCTCGCGAGAAGCTTCTCTCGCGTGTCCTGCATCAGCAAAGCGTGTCCGTTGTGGATCGGGTTGCGAAGCTGGAACGCAAAGGCGGCATCGGCGCCCATTTGACGCAACCTGGCGCGGATCTCCATTGGCGTCAGGCGCCAATCGTCCAGACCGTCGTTCCAACGAATTTTATCCATCACGACTAGCTCGCCGCCAACCAGCCAATCGCCGCTTTCCAGAATCATCTGTTTCATTCAGATGACACAAATTAATACGTTGATAAGCGGGCTTTTTTTTTTTTTTTGCTTAACGCGGGACGTAAATCAGAGGCTTAAATAACTTTCTTATAGTACAGTACCTGCACATTCGAAAGACGCTTTTGCGCACGCCGATTTCATAGTCAGAATCATTTGTATCGATCACCAAAGAATCAATTACAGTTGAACCCCAATAAATCGAACCTCACCAAGTCGAATACCTCCCTATGTCGACAGTCCACGTCTGGATTCCCTTAGAAACTATGTATTAAAAACTTATCCAACTCAAAGGTTTTTTCCTCTCAATAGTCTCAAACCTCCAAAATTCGAATTTTCGGAGGTGAAGAATAAAATAGAAAAGGAATAAAAATGTGAATAGATGTGTTCTGAAAGAAAGTGAAAGACAAACTGGGCAAGTGAATCCTTGACTCCAAGTTCAGCATCCTGTCAACTCATTCTAGAGGCAATTTAAGGACAAGTATATCACCTATCAAATTTTTTTTTTTTTTACAACTCGAATCCTGTCTGAATCGAATGTTTTGCTGGTCCCTTGAAATTTGGCCTGAAGAGGTTCGACTGTGTAATTTCCACACGTCAAAGCAAGCCTACTTAAATTTCTGAAGAATTTTTTTCATGTGGTAAAACTGAATCATGTAAATCCATTTGCAACAACCCCTTCAAATAAATTTAAAAAAAATTGTAAATAAATTTTACGGATCAAATGATTATCACCAACGCAAAGAATAAGTTTTTCATAACAAATCTGACATTGAATAAAAAGGGTTCCGAATTTTAAAAAAAATGTAGCACCATTTAACAGAAAAAAATTAATTGGAGAGGGGGCGAAACCCAGTAAGCACCTCGAGGCAATCGAAGACCTTCCAAATTTTTTCAGCGTTTGAAGCACATTTAGAAAAACACGAAAAGAATTACACCACAACTTAACAAACTTGGGGGAGAAAAAGTTTGTTCAAACAACAGAAAACAATTCACTTCCTTCACAGTTTTGTCATACCTTAACATATGGATGACGGGGATTGGAAGTTCCAAATTGACGGCTGACTCTCTCCTCCTTACGATGCTCAAAAAATTCGGGATCCCTCAACATGGCAACAACGCGTCCCTTGTTCCTCAACACAATTGATTGCGTTCCCTCCAACCTCATCTGTTAAAACGCAGCGATACACACACGATTCAGAGATAATTACAAGAAAAAATACAGCATACCATCCCAGACGCATAAAAGGTACCTCTTGAGAACATGCATTGAAATTATTTTTCTTTGCTTTCCCTCCCAAAATAAAATCTGTAGTTACGCCTTCATCGAGGCCTTGAACAAGAACTCGACATGCATGAAAACAAACTGAATTTTACTACTCATCTCATGAAGAAGACATAATTAGAAGTACATTTCAAAAATGAGTAATCACGAAATAATTTTTTTAAAGTTACGGTTCGCTTATTTCCCTTCATTCAAATCTCTAACAAGGAAAACATACGACTGTAGAAAAATCAAGAACCGATTATCATACAGTAATTTTTGGCACATGAATATCATAAAAGCGAAAAATTGATGAAGAGACTCAATCTTCGATTGCTAAAAAAAACTGCATCGTAAATTCAGGGATCATTTTGAAATAGAATATTCAACCTTTTCCCTTTTTAATTCCCTCACCTTATCGTCATTCGACACTGACAAAACAATTGGTATAGCCTGACTCGTCACGCCTTGATCAAACAGGCAGCCGAAATGCAAAGCCTGCAAATATTCGCGTTCTCGCATGAAGCCTCGCAACGGTGTAGCCCATCCTTCGGCCAACACTTGAACCCACTGCAGGTCAACTTCCGTAATGTCGAGGGTCGCTGACAGGGTCGAGATCTCTGACGTGAGACGACACTGAGCTGCTTCACTCGCGAACAGCTCAACGACTGACTCAGAGACTGTCGGCGGGATCACATTCTAGAGCAAAAGAATCCAAGATCATTACAGAACACTTGCGAGACGTGCGCAAAATAAATTTCTTCCAATTGTTAGATTTAGGAAAAAAATGAGAAGTTCGCTACACGTAACTCAAATATATACGTGATTTAAAGGATTCCCGAAGAGTTACAGTATAAGAGCTCTGCGAAGCATATGGTAAACATTCCTGCTTTATAAAATCATGAATTACGTATGATTATTTTGCGTGTGAAGTTCACCAACAATAAGAATTTCCACAATCATTCAAAACCATCTCTTCCTGACTTCCTCATGCTTTTGTAAAATAATTTGTTCGATGAAGAAAAAACTGGAAGAAGTGAAAAAAGTAATATTCTCAATATTTAATAGCATAAACCTTCTCAAGCTATTCATATTTTTTCATGCACTGTACTTCGGAAAGCGTTTCACTCAAGATTTGAAGTACAAAAAAAGGTCCTATTTCCACCGCACGAAGACACATCGCGGAATTGTAAAACATCGCTTCGATGCAAACAGATAAAATATACAGTATAGGAAAAAAATTTTAATATAAGGATAGGGAATAAATCAACAAAAAACTCACGTTTTTGATCAGAACATCAACGACGACCTGCACGCAATCGTCAACGTAATGGTCCACCGTTTTTATCACCAGATCGGGATTTTCCGGTTTTTCATAGACAGCGTCAATTCCAGTAAACTCTAAACCGCAAATTTAGGCGTTCAGAAAAGACATGAAGAAATGGCAAAGTTCATTCAATAACACCTTTGATTTGCCCGGCTCTCGCTTTCTTGTACAGCCCCTTCGTGTCTCTCTTCTCGCAAACTTCCAGGGGAGTATCCACGAAGCACTCAAAAAAGGGCAAGTTTGCCTCCTCGTGAATCTTCCTCGCCTTCTCCCGATCCTGCCAGAAGAGATTACGCAAATAATTCAATGGAAAATTCGAATAAAAAAAACAGGAAAAATAACACGATTATATCCCCTCCCCTCCAAATGACTCGATCCCTTTCCACTTTTTAAATTAAATGAAAAACCAAAAATCGAAATAAATGAAGATCTAAAAGAATCTGAATCGAATACCCACGATACATGCTATTCGGTGAATTATAAATCCCAACGCAGTCAAAAAAGGAGATAACCGCATTTTTGTTTCCTACGTTTCTAATTTCAAAAGAAATTTTTCTTGCGTTCGTTGTACAGTTATTGCTATTGAAGCAAGTAGTTAAAGTATGGCTAGCTTCAGTGCAATGTCGACAAATCACCAAGGCAGAAGTAGTACATGTACTCGGTACCTCTAACCTCTACCTTGTTATTGAGCATCAAAGCTTCATTGGATTTTGCGAGATAGTAAAATACTGTATCAGAAATTATGAAAAATTGTCGTTGTGTTCGTCCTTCTTTCAGCAAGTCTCACAACCCATCTCAAACAAATTCAATCCCGTCATTATGCACTTCGGCATACAGTTTTCCGACCCCAGACTTGAAACAAAGGAGAATACATCGAAAAGAACATTTTGCACGCCCTTTCGTGTATCAAAATAACCCTGAAACATAAGAAACGCCCTTGAAGAAAATTCTACCCAATACAAAGGATGTTATTGTTTTCTTTCTTTGCCAACATACCTTCGCATACGGCGAAACAAACGAGCACAGAGCAATAACACCAGCGTCGGCAAACAATTTTGCCACTTCTGCGACTCGACGAATATTTTCTTCTCGATCCTCAGGTGTATACATGTCAATAACGATAACTTCGTTCATCAATTTCATACCGATCGAAGTCACGTTACAGCTGTTTAGTGGTTCCGTCTTCATCATGTACATGAGCCATGGAGATTGGAGATGGAACAATAACTCGTATAAAGCATTGATTGGATTTTGCGAGATAGTAAAATACTGTATCAGAAATTATGAAAAATTGTCGTTGTGTTCGTCCTTCTTTCAGAAAGTTTCACAACCCATCTCAAACAAATTCAATCCCGTCATTATGCACTTCGGCATACAGTTTTCCGACCCCAGACTTGAAACAAAGGAGAATACATCGAGAAGAACATTTTGCACGCCCTTTCTTGTATCAAAATAACCCTGAAACATAAGAAACGCCCTTGAAGAAAATTCTATCCAATACAAAGGATGTTATTGTTTCCTTTCTTTGCCAACATACCTTCGCATACGGCGAAACAAACGAGCACAGAGCAATAACACCAGCGTCGGCAAACAATTTTGCCACTTCTGCGACTCGACGAATATTTTCTTCTCGATCCTCAGGTGTAAATCCAAGATTTTTGTTGAGTCCGTGACGAACGTTATCGCCATCCAGTCCGTACGCTGAATAACCCTTGCTCACCAAAAACTCCTCCAACGCAAAAGAGATCGTCGTTTTCCCCGCTCCGGACAAACCTTGGTAAAACAAAAAAAAACAGAGGAAATCATCGAACATGAAAAGTCATAACCAAAAAATTGAAAATTGTGAGTAGAAAAATTCTACATTATGAAAACCTCTCAGGAAAAAAATAACGCAGTCGAAAACAGGTACAAAACAGTAAACCCTTTTCGTCCGAGAAAAATACGAAATACGACCAAATATAAACTACATCCTTGGATACGTTAAAATAATTCACACACAAAACAATAGTAACATTCAATGCATTCAGCGAAAACTTACAAGAATAAAACGTACGCGAAAAATTAGGCTTCTTCAGTGGGACCTCGTTCAAAAAAGAACAATATTGCAATTACCACTTGCTCCAACTGAGCCTGTTCGGGCTAAAATTAAACATCACATTAGCGTCCAATTCAACAGAACTGGTCTACAAAGTCAATCAACCGGAAAATGATTACAGCGTTCAAAGATACAATCTACTGACCAGTGAACCAGATAGTGCAGCCGTGGAATCCGCCACGCTGTCCCATGATCTGACCTCGTTTGCTGCGTGACACATGGTGCGACTGGTAGGTCACATTTGTCGCCTTCTGCAGCGGCTGAGAATAAAAAAGAAGAAAAAAAAAGGTGAAGAGAAGTGAAGAAGCGCATAACCAAGTAGAACTTGAACCGGAAAAAAAGAAAAACGCAAACTATCATGCACATGCTACTGTACTATCGAACCTTCATAACCCGAACCTCGCCAAGTCGTATACGTGCCTATGTCGAATTTTGTGAACTCTCTTTCTGAATTCCTTTAAAAACAATGCGTAAAAAACCTCCTTAACTCCAAGTCACTTGATGTTCTGTAAAAGCGAGAGAAATTCTTCGGGCAAGTGCACCCTTGTCACCAGGTTCAGCATCTTATCAATTGATTCAAGAAGCAATTCAAGGCCAAGAATATCACGAATTGCAGTTACCTGTAATTTTTCTTTCCTTCCGCCAAGCAAAAAAGGCTCGTTTTCGAACTATAAACCACCCTAGCTCATTTTTTTTCCTAATCCGTTGAAGTTTGACTATACTACAGTGGAACCTGTTCAAGTCAAACTCCAAGGGATCCGCAAAAAGTTCGGCATTGGAAGGTTTCCAGTCAGTAAAACTATGAATTTAAAGCGAGAAAAAAATGAATTGCAATATGTTGAAATTGTTCATATTCTGGGCCTTAAATTGCTCGGTGCATAAATTCAGGATGCTGAAATTGGGAATGTCAGGGTTCATTAGGCGAATGAGTCACTCACTTCCTTTCAAGATCAAATTAAACTTTCATTGCTTTTATCAGAAAGAATTCAGAAAGAGACTGAACAAAAATTCGAAATAGGAAGGTTTTTGACTTGGGGATTTTCACGAACTCATAACCAACACCGAAATAAAAAGCGAAGAACAACGAACGGTAGAATGCAATGAAAAATGTGGCAAATAAACTAACTCATCAGTTTCTGCCGTCATTCAGTTTCCATCATCGGAGATGGACATGGAGAGAACAGTTTTCCTACAGTAATACAGTATACATTTTTTAAACCATCGTCCCCAATCCCAGCAACCCCAAATTTGTGAATACATTGTAGAAGCCTTCTTCATTTTAGAGCCTCAAAGCGGACCAGACAAATCCGTCACAATAAAAGCAGCTAATACAGAAAAAGAAGACCCATCATCCATGAGTAATATCGCGAACCCTTCCATACACAAAAAAAAAGAAGAAAATATACGTCAATCGAATGTCAGTCAAAAAACCAAGGATCAAGTCTCGCGAACGACGCATTCAACACCATCAAAGCTTGTCAGTTATGCAGAGAATGGAACGTCGGAATAAATTAAATCCCGGCCAAGCATCGCTGAAGAATCCCAGCACGTTTTTTTCCCCTCACTATTGATGTGTTTTTTAGCCAGCTGCCCAACAATAGTTTCCAGGGAGCCAATTTTCCAGTTTAAAAAAAATCGACAAAAAATTTCTCAAAATTCTACCCGGGTCAACAGGATGAACCGTTTGAAATGAGAATCTTTCGTAGGTGTCGAGTTAGATTGACGGTTTTTCGAAATAGGTTCCATTGTTAATTTTTTTTTCATTATTTACGCAATTTACTGTTTTATTCATTTTCTTCTGGTGAAAGACTGCGTCATCAACAAAATTGAACAAGAAGTGAACAGTCACATCTGTAGGAATCAAAGCATAGTTAACTGGTTCCAGGTAACGCATGAACAATTTATATTTCCTAAATCGATTCCTTCTCGTTTGAAAATTCATTTATTTTCAATTTATTATTTTTTAATGTTCAAAAACGTTTAAATGTACTGCACCCTGTTCAGAAACACTCAAATTTGAGGATGTTCGACGCAAATTTGGAATGAAATCGTGTTGACCAAACTTTGGACACATCGCTCGAGCATTGATCTTTACGCCGAATTTTGAATACCTGCTGCACTTGTAATTGTGATGATTCAACTGGTCTTTCTCTCGTTGAAAATTTGAAGAAAAAATATTAACCTTTGGATGGAGAAGGAATTACAATTTGAATAATCGCCTTCAATTCACATACTGTGTTGAGAAGCTGGCAAGAGACAAGAAACCCCTTCCAACACCTGGGATTCGACCTCACCATAGCTCTGAGCTGGCGCAGCTCGTCCTTTTGCTTGGCCCACATGGGATTCTCCATAGGAGAAAATCGCAGCAGTCCCGTCGTCGTCGTTGTAGTAGTTGTCGTCGTGCTTCCTTCCTGATTCGACATTTTCTCCACTCAAAATTCCNGATCAAGTCTCGCGAACGACGCATTCAACACCATCAAAGCTTGTCAGTTATGCAGAGAATGGAACGTCGGAATAAATTAAATCCCGGCCAAGCATCGCTGAAGAATCCCATCACGTTTTTTTCCCCTCACTATTGATGTGTTTTTTAGCCAGCTGCCCAACAATAGTTTCCAGGGAGCCAATTTTCCAGTTTAAAAAAAATCGACAAAAAATTTCTCAAAATTCTACCCGGGTCAACAGGATGAACCGTTTGAAATGAGAATCTTTCGTAGGTGTCGAGTTAGATTGACGGTTTTTCGAAATAGGTTCCATTGCTAATTATTATTTTTTCATTATTTACGCAATTTACTGTTTTATTCATTTTCTTCTGGTGAAAGACTGTGTCATCAACAAAATTGAGCAAGAAGTGAACAGTCACATCTGTAGGAATCAAAGCATAGTTAACTGGTTCCAGGTAACGCATGAACAATTTATATTTCCTAAATCGATTCCTTCTCGTTTGAAAATTAATTTATTTTCAATTTATTATTTTTTAAATGTTCAAAAACATTTGAATGTACTGCATCCTGTTCAGAAACACTCAAATTTGAGGATGTTCGACGCAAATTTGGAATGAAATCGTGTTGACCAAGCTTTGAACCCATCGCTCGAGCATTGATCTTTACGCCGAATTTTGAATACCTGCTGCGCTTGTAATTGTGATGATTCAACTGGTCTTTCTCTCGTTGAAAATTTGAAGAAAAAATATTAACCTTTGGATGGAGAAGGAGTTACAATTTGAATAATCGCCTTCAATTCACATACTGTGTTGAGAAGCTGGCAAGAGACAAGAAACCCCTTCCAACACCTGGGATTCGACCTCACCATAGCTCTGAGCTGGCGCAGCTCGTCCTTTTGCTTGGCCCACATGGGATTCTCCATAGGAGAAAATCGCAGCAGTCCCGTCGTCGTCGTTGTAGTAGTTGTCGTCGTGCTTCCTTCCTGATTCGACATTTTCTCCACTCAAAATTCCAGAAGGGGCCCTTCGATTTCTTGTTTATTCTCTTTTTTCTTCCTTTGTCTTTTGGTTTTAGTTTTCCTCGCGCACAAGCTTCGGCTACGCGCGCGGCGATTTATCTGGGCACACCACCCACTGTCACCGACAGAAAAGGTTGGGGGAAAAATTTGCATTTTTGTTTTGATCACGGAAACGTAAATACAGGTCTTGTTCTAGTGAAAAATTTCACAGAAACTGGTTCGCGTCACAATTTCGTTAGCAGTATGGTGAAAGGCCGTGACGATGATACTCGTGAATAATCCACAAATACGCATGAAAAGTCGTTTCCGAACGTGAACCAGTAGCAATACATGTCCCAAGGGCCAAGACTGAAGTGAAGTAGAAAAGATGGTCCCTGTTTTTTACCCCTCAGAAAGGCAATTGCTTTACCTTGACACAAACTTCGATTCACGAAGAGAAAACCAAGCGGCCTGTAAAATTTCATTTTTTTCACTTTCGTGGATTTACTTCTTTCTGATCAACGTCTTCTCCGGTCTAATGTACAGCAGTGCTGCGAGATTTGAGAGTATGTCCGCAATGAACTGTCAAATCATTTCTCGAAAATGTAAATCTTTAGAAGGGGATCAGTCATACAATTGATTTCCCAGAAGAAGGCATTGGGGCATCAGCTCATACCATTAGCTTCGAAGAACAGTACTATACCGTACTACTGCTCTTGTACATCCAGAAATTGCAAGTACAATACTGAATTTACCCGATTACTGGATACATACTGATTTCCAGCAGCCATAATTCAAGGTGGAAAATCAATACAAACCGAAGACATTTAAACTTTC